TTTGCCGAATAAATCATATCTAAAATGTACAAAATATGATCAGTCTGTACTTGTGATCTATCACTCCATTCATATTTTTTGGATTTGCATATACAGGGTGATTCAAGAAAATAAATGAAAGCGTAAATTTATTTTTCTGATTTACTCAGGAACTACAAAACCGAATGCTTCGAAATCTTGAAGATATTTTAAAATTATCATAAGCATGGTAAATTTTTGATCAAAACGTATTTGGTCGTCCCCCCTAAAAAATTTATGATGTCACCACAAAATTTTGCTGAAAAAATCCTATCTAAAATGTACAAAATATGGTGAGTCTCTTCTTGTGATTTATCATTCCATTAAAATTTTTTCGATTTGCATATACAGGGTGACTCAAAAAAATTAATGAATGCGTAAATTTATTTTATTGATTTAATCAGGAACTACAAAACCGAATGCTTTGAAATCTTGCAGATGTTTTAAGGTTATAAAGAGCATAAGAAATTTTTAGTCAAAATATATTTGGTTATCTTCTACAAAAAATTGATGACGTCAGCTCGAAAGTTTGCCGAATAAATCCTATCTAAACTGTAAAAATATGATGAGTCTGTACTTGTGATTTATCATTCCATTCATATTTTTGGATTTGCATATGCAGGGTGACTCAAAAAAATTAATGAAGGCGTGAATTTATTTTATCGATTTAATCAGGAATTACAAAACCGAATGCTTTGAAATCTTGGGAATATTTTAAAGTTATTATAAGCATGGTAAACTTTTGTTCAAAATGTATTTGTTCATCCCTCCTAAAAAAATTGATGACGTCACCCTTAAATTTTGCTGAATAAATCCTATCTAAAATGCAAAAAATATGATGAGTTTGTACTTGTGATTTATCATTCCATTCATATTTTTTAGATTTTCTTAAGAGGTGGTTCAAAAAAATTAATGAAGTCAATTTATTTTATTGATTAAATTAAAGGCAACACTTATTATTAGTATTACACCCCAACCAACCCAATTTGGTAGACACAAAATTTGTTAAAGGAAAAACTCGGTTGAAACATAAGGGTAGCACGCTTATTTACATCGACTTTAACATTACAGACCTGCATTTGTTTTATGCGCTCACTTGGTTCCGCGAATGTGAAATAGACATGTTTATAATCAACCAATTGTGAATTTCACCGTCAAGAATTAAAATAAAACCCAATGTTTTATATAATAAGCGGAAGTCGAAGCAATAAAACCGATGGTCGTTTTGTTTACAGTTTCTCTGTTTGACTCTCCCGTATGCTGTTACGCCTGTCATCCTAAATTAAGAATGTTTATACATACACGATTTTCAGTTGCCTCTGATACGTATTGTTTCGTTATTTTATTGATTATTACAAATCAATATTCAAAACGACCCAATTCATTTTCCCGAAAATTTGAGAATATAATAATTTTATTCTTAGTATTACACTACATCTATCCCAACTGATATACGTGTCCTTGCAAAAATGTTGATGACGTCATCGCAATTTTTTTTTAAATTCCCACTACAAAAATGTAATGAGAAAAAAAACACAATAGGCATGCAGTCGTCAAGTTTCCGACAGCGAGGGAAGTACTGTCTAAACTCTTTAGACCAATTTTTTTACTAAACCAAATGAATGTTTCTAGATTTCATACTGGTAAATTCTGGAACTATTTTTTTATGTCCAAATTGTCTAACAGTTTATTTTCAATTTTGAAAAGATCACTGGCCAGATGGAACCGAAAATGGTGGTGTAATCAAAATTCTTAATGCTATTGATGTATCGGAAAAGTTGAGATAAAATTGTTTTCACACAAATACGTAAAATTTGGTGGGGATCTTCTAAGGGTTTAGCTGAAGAGTGCAGTTTTAAAGCTTTAATATTATTAAATACGTCAATATCGGCCTCACCAAGGGAATCAAGTGTAAGTTTTAAATGCAACATGTCTTCTTCTGAGGACTTAAAACACATTATTGAAAAACCCAAATACATTATCATATGTGTTTTAGTTCCTCAAATCTATTATTTAAAGAAGACAAAGTTTGGTCCAGAATTCGGTAAAAGAAAATTATTTTAAAATTATTTTTTGGATCTACGACAACTTCGTCATTCTGCTCACAATCAAAATGTTGCGGTTTTCTTATTGGACGCACGGTTTGGATTGGCGGAAAAAATGGTTCAACATTAATTTCATAGGCAAGTTTGTCTGCTTCAGTTATAATTTTAGCAAAACTTTCATCTAAACGATATTTGGTACAGTAACCTATTACATCTTTAAGTAAATTGATACATACTTTGATGTTGATGTTAGAATTCTGCATCATTTTAGTTAAGAGGTTGATTTGATTGAAAATATCAAATCAAATTATCTTTGAACAAATAAATTTATAGTTTTGTATGTTTAAAGCTAATAAATAAGCTTCATGTGTTATGGTACAATGCCATGAAGAAGTATCTTCATATATTTCCAGCAAATCATCAAAGATTTTGCAAATGTGATACCGTATAAATAAAATAAAATTATTGTCTGTTCCTCCGAACAGTGCAAACTCCAAACTACAAATTCAAATAACAACTATGTTGCATTTGCCCCATCGGATACCAACTAATTTATGGAGCAATATTCTTTCACCTTTCTGTCAATCACTAAAATAATTCAATTTATTGCTAACATCCTCCTTCACACTCCGACAAACAACACCCGCAATTCTCGAAACTTATTCCTGTATGCTTTACCGATCTACAAGTTTGTTCACTATGCACTATAAAAACCAGATGTTTATTGATTTATCGATGACCGGATTACCCAAACAATATTTCTTTCTTTGCTTTCTCCCAAAGTCCCAATAAACCCTTTTTTCGATTTGTATTTTTTTTTTTATTTTTTGAGAATTCTGAAAAGTGCTGCTTTGCTTGCCAATTTGCCGCCCCCCTTTGGCAGCGCCCGCGTGCGGTGCACGCCTTGCACCCCCGCTTACGGCGGCCCTGATACTGAATACCTATTGCAGATGGAAAAGAACAGTACCCTGGATACAAAAAAGTTTTGGTCCTTTGTCCGCTCAAAAAGAGGTGTTACGCGTATTCCCGGTACAATGTTTTACAACGATGAATGCAACTCTGATCCTAATATTGTTGTTAACTCCTTTGCTGATTTCTTCAAAAGTGTTTTTATCGACTCTTCACCTCTCACAGACGATGCTATTTTCACGAAGGTTAACAACACAGTATCGGTTACATATATATCTGAAGATGAAATTATTGGAGAATTGAAGCGAATGAAGAACTCTATGACTTCTGGGCCTGACAGTGTCCCAAGTTTTTTATTAAAAGATTGTGCCCATGTTCTCTCTAAACCGCTTTTACGTATCTTTAATATTATGTTGAAGTCCTAATATCTAAAAATTGGCACATAATCTGTCCGGTACTAAAGAAAGAGGATCCCTCCCAAGTCACAAACTATAGACCTATATCCATCTTATGCAATTTTTCCAAAGTATTTGAGAGCATCTTGTATGCTCGTATTTATGCTTCTGTTAAAAATTATATTTCTGAATATCAGCATGGGTTTATGCAAGGAAAATCCACCATTACTAATCTAGCATGTTTCTCTCAGTTCGCCTCTAATGCGCTAGATAGAAATAGTCAAGTTGATATTATATATACGGATTTTCAGAAGGCTTTCGATCAAATTGATCACTACGTCCTGCTTAAGTAACTTGAAATCTTTGGTTTCTCTAACTCTCTTCTTGTTCTTCTGAGATTTATCTTCTCAATAGGCGTCAACAAGTTGCACATCGTAAATTTAAATCTATAGTTTTTGTCTCAACATCAGGTGTCCCCCAAAGATCCAACCTTGGACCCCTTTTATTTCTAATGTACATCAATGATATTACTGACGCGCTGGAACCCTGTAATAAATTGTTCTTCGCTGACGATTTAAAGATCTTCATGGAAATCGTGTCAATTGTTGACTGCGTCACGTTACAAAATTGTCTCAATGTTCTATCCAAGTGGTGTAGTTCTAATCGTCTTCACCTAAATTTTTCTAAATGCAGTATTGTATCCTTTACAAAGAAACTCAATTACAATATATACCCATATTCAATTGAAGGAACAATATTACTCCGCAACTTCAATTTCAAAGATCTAGGTATCCTGTTTGATGCCCAACTTATGTTTAAAGAGCATATATTTAATGCTATCAATAAGGCATTCAAAATCTACGGTTTTATATATAGAAACTGTCGAAGTTTTACCAATTTGACCATTTTGAATACCCTGTTTTGCTCATTGGTGCGACCGCACCTTGAATATGGTGCGTTGATCTGGTACCCCATCTATAGAATATAATATGTCCATTGAAAAAGTGCAATGACGTTTTTTAAAATTTCTCGCCTTCAGAATGGACGGTGCTTATCCTGTACGTGGCATCCATTACAATATTCTCTTGAATAGATTTCAATTTTCTTCTCTAGAAACTCGAAGAATGTTAACAGTCTTGCGTTTCCTATATAAGTTAGCTCATGGTAAAATTGATTGCCTTTTATCTTGGGTTCCCTTCGGTTTAATGTTCCTCGTCCTGGACTGCGTTATGCTCCGTTGTTCAAGCTCTCTTACAGCCGTACCAATGTAGCTGTCAAAGCTCCAGTAGCAGTATTGATGTCCACATACAACGTCCTTTGTCAAGATTGTGATTTACACCATGACTCAATAAATTCGATTTTAAATCATGCTTGTGCCGCTTTAAGTGTTATTGAAACGTGAAACGTTCTGTTGTCTCTATTAGGTATGTATACCCTATCATTTTATTGTGTTATTGTATATATTTTATGTTGTATACTTTGATCTCTGTAACGCGGTTTTTACCTGTAGAATGATCAATAAAGATTAAAGATTGAAGAAACGTGAAAACTGAATAAGCCTTAAAACTCGGAGGACCTTTGTGGCTTTATCATAGAGCTAAACTGATCAACTATGCATAATAAAACTGCATGATTAAGGTGTTCATTTTTTTTATTTAAAATATTTATTGATCTGATTTAATAAATGTTAATAAGTATGAAAAAATGTTTAATGAAAATTGCATAAACATAACGATTCACATGAAGAAATATTATTTTTTAATTAAACAACTTCCAAGCTATCTACAGGTTCTCGAACATTTCTACTCGTCGGACCGTATTTCCTCGACGAATTTCAGCCAACGTTTTGTACTTGTTTCTCCCTTCGGCTAAATTGACACGATGAATCTTATCTAAATCTGTGTCCAAAGTTTGTTCACGCGTTTCATTTAATTTCATTTGCAAAATCTACAAAAAGACACAAAATTTTCTCCTAAACGTTATTTACATAAATACCACAGCACTAACCCTTAGTTGTTCACGCAATTGATCATTAACGTCAGCAAGTTCTGGTAAAGCCGTATCGGCTCCTTCTGGCACCTCTTCTAGTTCCTGTTCTTCAACTTTTTGCTTGGCAGCTTCCTCAAGTTCACGTTGTCTTCGTTCCTCTTCTTGTTGCCTCATTTCTTCTTCTCGTTTACGCGCCTCGTCCACTTGTTCTTGTAAACGCTTAGCTTCTTCATCTTTTGCGGTGACTTCGTCTTGTATTCGCTGCACTTCTAGTTGCTTCGCTGATATCTCTTCTTCAAGCTTTTGCCGTTCAGTGGCTTCCAGATTTTTACTTTGTTCCAGACGCTCCATCATTTCTTTCAACTCCATTTGCTGCTTCTCTAATTCTTCCTTGGCTTTTTGAAGTTCTTCTAGTTGTTGCTGAAGTTTTTGGATGGTGTTCTGAGCTTCTAACAAGCTTGCTTTGTTTTTTTCCATTTCCTCTTTCATTGTCTCTATAAGAAGTTTATACTGAGTTTCACGTCTCTCAACTTCTTCTCTTGCCGATCTTTCTTTATTCAACTTCAACCTACGATTAATAATTAAAAACTATTTTAATAATAATAATATTAATAATAAAGAAAATACTTTTGTGCTTCTCGATTCTTTCTCATTTCTTGAGCTCTTTCCTTCATTCTTGTAATTTCTGTGCTTTCTGGTTTTCTTCTTTTAACGTATAACGCATGATTTCCAATTCCTAAATTCAGGATTAGTTTACTAATTTTTGGATCAGTTGTGAAAAATATGAAGTCTTGGGCGGTCTTATCAGTTGGTTTTATGATAAACTTGCGATCCTTAAATTTTAAATTCTTAATTTCCGCCCATGGGAAGGATATTTGAGGATTCAGTCTAAAACAATAAACCTCCAATAATTATGAATATGAAATATTATATTCTCACTTGTCTTCCGGTTTGTATATATCAATACCCAGAGCGGTAACACCCAAAAGTAAATCTGTGCCTTTCCTGTTTCTAATTTTGAAAAAACTAACCCCATACATTTCTAAATTTTGAGTTAATTTTAGGTATTCCATCATCGCATCTTCTTCGTCTAGTCCTTTATGTTTCTGCCACATTGTTATTATACTTTCTTCCCATACCGAATCATCGATTTTGTGCTGATTGAGCACTCTAATGAAAAATACAATGGTAATTAAGTTTTGGTATGTAAAAAAAATACCTTTCTGGAATCAGTTTTTTGATTTGAGCAGACCATTTCTTGTTTTCGTCACTTTCATAATCGCCAAATTTTGCTTGCAACGCATACGAGGCTAAAAGAGCACAGGTATCCGCGGGACAATAGATTTCGTCTCTGTAAATATCACTCTTGACTTGCGCGAAAAATAACTCTATTGTAGATTTTTCGATTAATTCTTCGCCAACATCCTCTGGGAAGTACTTAACCTTAAAGGATAATTTTTCCACGACTGTTTTGAAATCTTTGAGGCTCTGTAAAGTCAGAATTTAAGGTTATTACGTAGGTAATACTAGTAGTAAATACCTTCTTTGATCCATCAACCCATATTTGTTCAAAATCGGAACCTCTATACATTAACCCAAAGTACCATTTTTCAAAGATTAGTAAATTTTTGCACATTAAATCGAAAATTTCTCTAATGGAGGTTTTTGGTAATGCGTTAAGTTCACATTCCGAAATTGCTGACCGTACAATAACTTTCATTTTGACGACCGAAAAATTAACGCAGCTAAGTTTCACACTGTTTCATCACGAACACAGCGAAAAGTATTCTTATCGAAAATATTTTATAGGTAGATAAGATAAATAAGTAAGCAACTATTTATTTCTGGTGCCTGTTTTCTATCTATATTTAAAATATTTTTTTTTTAGAAGTAAGTATTAGAATAGTTTCCACGTTTAAAGACATGCATTTATTTGTCTTCAAGCTTATTGTACTGAAAACTTCGAATACAATGGTCATTTATATGCTCCATTAGTTTAATTAATCTGATGTACATATTTTTATCGTTTGATACGCAGTTTTGTTTCGATCCAATTTTTACAATAAGAATAATTTGCTTAAACATCATTTGTCATTTTTATATGGTACATTTTCCAAGAACTTATATTTTATAAAGAAAAGTTCTGCATAACTGGAAATACAGCTGAGTAAATTTCAGCGTAAATTTATCGCTTTCTGGTATGTTTGTGTTTGATATACTTAGTTCCGCTAACAGTGACAATCCAAATATTGAACAATTAAAAGTCTGAAATGGTGACATGGCTATCTAAAAATTGTACGTATTTACTTTCTACATGAACTGATAGAATCAAAAGTGGGTGGGTAATAGAAAAGTATGTATAATTCTTATCGAGAATTATCTATATCCATATTTCAAGGTTTTGAAACATGCTTCAAGTAAATTATGACATATTTTTTGCAATAAGTAATTGCTTAATATAGCAAATAGGTAAGTACTAATCGAAATATCTTTATCGGTTTAATGATAATATGTAGGTACTAAAATTTCTAGGAATGTGAGTGTATACTGCGATTGATTTTACGTACTGATGAAATAAATTATTATGCATAAATACTGCAGATTCCTTTAACATTAATTAAACTAATCCAGCGTTTTCAGAAATCGATAAATATTTTGAGAAAACTCGCAAGGGTATGATGAAGTTAGAGAATAAACGATAGCAAACAAATCAGTATGCCAGTATGTACCTACTTAGTTCTAAAATCTCGAACGTTCGTCGTTTCATTTTGTCATCAGTTGTATCAATGGATATGACTACCCTGGTCTTAAATTATAAATATAATAAAAAGAGCACGTCGACCCAGGGATGCACGGATGGAGTTTTAACTCTGCGTTGTCAATTTACATAAATTAAACACATATACGCGGCCAAGTCATTAATTTTCCTTTAAAAAATAATAAAAACCAAAAATATGTTGCATTTGTATTTTTTGACAATATGCCGATTAATGATGATAACTGGATTAAATAAAGTAAATATCCATGTATTGTCAATTGTTGTTTATTATACAATATACTTTTTTATGGGTGTTAAGACCCACCACTGACCCGGAAATGACCGGCATTCAGGCAAGACTTCTATCATTACGGGTACTAAGACCAAGTAATGATATGCATTGATTAGATTAACAGAACAACTTTCGAGATTCTAGAATTACAGCATACAAATTAGTCTGCTATTATTCTCTAATCTCACCCCATCCCCAAAAATCTAACGTAACTACCGACCATTTATCCGCGCATCACTTGGAAAGTGACCTACACTACTCTGACCTACTGGTGCTAATCTAATCTGACTGACATGATCAGACTGTTCAAGAAACTTACGAACAATATAACATGTTCCTAACAAAACAGCTTTTTGAATTTTGATAATTATTGAATCATTCAAATGCAAAGACTTTAAATTCTCAACTAAGCTATTTGGAACTACACCTACATTAGAAATAACTAGGGGTAGAATTGAAATTTTTTTAAGACTCAACATGGATTTCATTTCTATCGATAAATGTAGATATTTTGAAATCTTGGTGTGGTATGTTTGAATAATGTTGTTTGTGTTAGGAACAGCAATGTCAATGAGAATGACTTCGTTCGTGTGTTTTTTGATAAGTATGATCTGTCATTCATTTTATTTATTTATCATATAGAAATATCATAATTAATTATTGTAATAATATTGTGGAAAACACCGACACCGAGTTCGAACTCGTAAGTCGAACCGACATCCTATTCCGGCGCGCGTCGTGTACGTGTTCTATAATACGAAAAGAAAGGAGTTAAAACTCCAAAAATCTTGCTTGAATGTCGGCAAACCAGGTTAGTGACTGACCATTTAAAGTAAGTACAAGCGATCGCAAATGGTACGCCTAAATTATAATTCCATTCCAGGTTGATACAATAAAGTGTCGAAATACATTATAGCAGTTTACAGATAAAATAAAACTTAAATTGATTTATAATTCAACCTTCAAGCATTTCATGAAAATTCTGGTGTGCCCTTCAAATACGAGTAATAACCCTTGCTAAGGAATCCGCACTCAGAATCTTATAAGAGAATAAATTTGGATTTTAGTTTTGTGAGGTATGAAATGCTGGAATTCACACTGATGAAGCTGGGTGCGTCGGCTCGGAAAATACAATCAGGTCGATTTTTATTGCCTCGAGAGGAGCGGTTCCAACTGTTGGCATCCCGACAAAAAAGACGCAGTTTTTTAATATGGAGGCTTCCTGGGAAAAGGCTGGAATGTTGACTTTATAATTTACCATGTACGAACACAAACAAGCTCAAATCAAACAAAACAAGAGAGGTATAAATTTAATTTAGTAAAGTGCTGTAATGAAAGAGTTGCATAGCCAACAATCACATGCAGGTAAAATTAGATTGATCAGTCTGATTAATAATAATTGACACTAAGAGATATATCGAGCATATATATAGTACAAATAAATCGTTAAACTTATTTACACAGGATTTCCTTCTCAAGCACAAGGGCCGCATAACATCCAGCAACAATTTGATGACGCCCGCTCATTATGTTGCATAATTAACATTACCGATTTTGTATGAAACAATATACTTCTGTACTTGTGGTTTACGAATATATCTTGATTTTGTTTATTATTATAGTTTAGGAAATATCGTTGTACCCTATAAAATTTTATTGACAATAACGAGGCGGATAGTAGTACAATGGTAAGAAATATTTATGGCTCACACCCGTCCACCCGAATTTGTCGGAGAACATTTAATAGGTAGTTGTACTCATAAAATAATGGTCATTTTTGTTTGTGAGTAACGATGGTCTCTGTCCGGATCTGAATTATTCCGCTTTCTAACATCTGGGGATGACCGCCACGCGACAACTTTAAGTTGTAAATATCTCTTGCTATTGTAAGACTGTCCGTCTCATTATTGTCAATAAAATTTTATAGGGTAAGTACAACGATATTTCCTAAACTATACTACATTTTTACTTCCCGAGCGTAAGCTAAGAAAGTATAGTAATCAAGTCCATTGGCCGAATTTCCACTTTCATATTTTCTCGACGTGTCATGACCTCTAGATTACGAAAAAAGTGGTCTCCCGTTTCCGTCTGTCTGCCTGTCTGTCTGTCTGTCTGTCTGTCTGGTGTCTGTATCCATTTTTATTAGACAAGTAATCTCCTCAACTACTGGATCGATTATTGTCAAATTTGGTATGTATATTAGGAATACCATCTAGATGATGCTAACTAAAATTTGGCTAATCATCCTCACCACCAATTAGGATGATGTCATCTCCAAAATTTATAATAAAAACTTTTTTGAAATTTTATAAAATAAGATACTCCTGCACTTGTGGTGTGTGAATCCGTGTCGAATTTTCTCCCCAGACATCCAGAATATTTAGAAAAAATTCAAAACTGAAGAACAATATTTTGCAATATAGCTTTGAAACTGTAAAACCGAATGCTCTGAAATCTCGTAAATATTTTACGGTTATCGTAATCATGGTAAATCGTTAAGTCATTTATCCCCTCCCAAAAAATTGATGACGTCATCACAAAATTTTGCCGAGTAAATCCTATCCAAAATATACAAAACATGATGAGTATATACTTGTGATGTATCATCATTGGTCGATAAAACGTAAAAGTAGAGAGTCCGCCGACGGGCTCGATTACAATACTTCGCTTACGCTCGGGAAGCAAAAATGCTTTTCAAAATTTTGAAAATATTTTTAGTAACACAAGAAATAACAAACTTATGAATTAGTAGCTAAAGAAATCAGTTAAAATCACCAAATACAACCCTATCCTACAAAAATAAAGCTATAATTTATCTCCTCTGTAATCAAATTCGTGACTATGAAAGAACAACATAAATATCGGCACGACTGCAACCAGTAGCGTTCACTAGTTGAAATAAAATTACGATGAAGATGTTTGGATTAGGGCGAATAAAGCATCGGGAAAACGAGAGATGCCGAACGTTTTCAAGTACCAAGCGTAGCCGCCGCCGCCGTCGTCGTCGTCGTCGTCGTCGTTTCAACCCCGCGCCAGTTCCGTAATCGACGTTGCTCTTGTTGGTGGAGTTTCTACGAGTGCTTATGCGTGTTTGCACACACGCACTGATTGGAACCAACGCGTTATTAAAATTTGTGCTTTTTTCCTACAATAATTCAGCTGATAGAGTAAGTTGGAAGAGATTTGTTCTGGACAGATTTACGTCCCAGTTTTTTATTTCCAGTTTCACCTTGGACTTTTTTTCAAATAGAAACATATACATTTTTTTAATTAAAAAAATAATTATTCAGTGTGCATTTTTAATTCCCACCGCGTTGGTTTGTAAGAATTTCTTTACTGATTGCAAAAGATGAATCTGTGATGATCCGATGATACTTCATTTTAATTGCGTTTATTAGGAAATGTAGGCGGTTGAGATCTCGGGGTCTAATACTTCTACTTATAAGTAATTTGAATTAGTTCGAAAATGCAATTAACCAAGTTAGGTCAATTCTAAGTGAAAAGTAGGGCCTTAGGAACTTATGAAAGTTTAATGGGAAATCTTGTAATCTTGTAATAACAAGTTACTGTATAAGACTGTTTATTTATACATATTTTCAATATTACGTAACATTTGACAAAGCGAACGATATCGCACACTTTTTACCAAAAGCGTGTACAGTAAGTAATACAGCTTTATTATATATAGGTAAATTTTGTAAATTCATTCAAGTTATTTTATTGACGATTGTTACTGCAGCGAGAATGTATCTACATAAGCCCAGCATTACTATCATCTGCCATGCAAATATTTGGCTTTACAACTGTTACCATGACATAAAACGACTGACGAAGGCCATGGTCCTGCATCACAAGCATATCCGTATAAACCGTTTCTGCACAAGTATGGACATTGTAAAATATATTTACAGCAGATATGCTTGTTATGCTGGACCAACAGGCCCCCGAAGTTAAGGAGCCCCTTCTGGCCTAAATGAAACGCAAAATAAAATGTATTTTTTTTTATTTTGTTATTACAAAAATACGATTTCGTCTTCGATTGACCGTTTGTTGACACATATAATCTCGAGATTGTGCAAAATTCAAAACTGCCCACTGCCGGGCGTGCCACTAATTATGTCTTGCAGCCAGGCAACCACCTGCACAAAGAGCTGCCGCCTGAGTTTTGTTTGCATTATCGTTTCCCATCCTTATTTTGCTTTTTTTATCGCTCAATAAAGTATACCGGACACTTTTGCAATGATTACATTTGTATTAATATTTTTTCGATTTGCTTATACAGGGTGATGCAAAAAAAAATGACTCAATTTATTTTATTGATTAAATCAAGAACTGCAAAGCCGAATGCCTTGAAATCTTGCAGACATTTTGAAGTTATTGAAGGCATGGTAAATTTTTAATCAAACGTATCTCTAAAATTGATGACGTCTCAAAATATTATCTAAACTGTGCAAAATATGATGAGTCTATACTTGTGATTTATCATTGCATTAACATTTTTTACATTTGCATGAATAGAATAATTTATTTTGTATTTGCTCTAAGCTCTGAAAAATCATGAAAACATTAAATATTCGTCAAAATTACACTGTTACAATAATTTCCTTCGATTTGCCTCAGAAAATTGTTTGTTATGAATTGTTTCTATTTTTTAAACTCGTATCATATTTTGCCTAAAATTATTTTGTAAATTTGAAACTTCTTTCGACCACGTAAAATAATAATTGCTATTTGTAAACAAATCGTAGAAAGAACAAATCTCCAAAAACGATTTTTCTCTCGCTGGCAGAAGCATAACCCAAACGATTTTTAATCGGCTCACTTAATATCGCCATTTTATTAGGTATTTTATTGATCGTTACATTATTTTATGAGTTACTAAATTTTTATTCCACACTTAAGTAATAATGATTCTCTGATATCTCAGAAACAGTATTACCCTCTTATTAACTTTGAAGTGATGCTTTAAAAACGAAAGGCGACCGCATTCTTGCTTTCTTTACTCAATTGCGACAAAAAAAAATTGTTGATTCCGTCCATTATCTTTCACGGGAATGGTCGCACTGAGTGTAAATTTAATTTTTAAAGTAGGGGGAAAATTATTCATTGTGTCTTAAGGAATCTTCCTGATCGCTCGGTGCGCTATAATAATGTAACGTTTGTCTAGATAATGCTAATGCGGTTGGCGAAACACGTCGGCAAATATTTTGTGTTTTAGGTGTTATGGGAATAAACGTTATATTATTATAGCACACCGAGAAATTAAAAATATCTACAATTTCTCCCATTGGTTATCTGCTTTAAATATACATGTTTCAAATTGTCCACACAAACACGCCCCCTTCGACCAATTTTTATTAAATTAATTTTATTACAAACGATCACCGGAAATTATTTTAAACTGCGCTTGTTCACATCAGGTTCGTTATATACACATATGTCATGTATCGAAGCTATCCTCTGCTTTTATGTTCCCATCTGACTTTCCTTTTTCACTTTCCCGCAGCCGTCGTAACTCCCCGGTAAACGCAACATAGTCTCATATCAACAGTGACATTCGATTAGAAAAAGTCAATTTTCGTGGATTTTCATGTAAGCACGAACGTGACAATATTTGAAGGAGTAATTCGCAAAGGACGAGTAAACTAATTTGCAGCCAAACAAGTTGAGAAAACTGTGCTTCAATGCGCTTTGTATTCTCGATGGAAAATGCTCGATTAACGCCTCTCTAAATTGACAAACTTTAATGGACAGTTACTGCGCTGCTCCCGTTTCTTCAAATAAATTTACTTCGTTTACTTTTTTTCTAGAACAATATTTGTATTTTGTACGCCACAAAAGAAAATTATCCGGACTGAAATAGGGACCATTTATAAATAAATGATTGCAAATTCGAAAAGCAATCGATAGATAAGTGTATTACGGATGATTAATTTAAAGAGGCTGCCAGATGTTTCCCTATTATTTTGGTCGACACGGAACAGAGATCTTGGCCATACATTTTTTATTTCGTTAGTGTGCAAATAAAAGGAGGTTCATTTCTTTTTTTTCTATATTTTGTTTTTAGATAATTACTATTACTATAGTTTCTGAATGTATTCCCAGAAAACTTCCATTTCCTCTCATCCATAACAATTTCCGGGAACACATCAGGGCGTACTTTTCAATAAAAAATTTGATACATGTAGTGAACTTTTTTTCAAACTACTGGATCGATTGTCTTTTATATACAATGGGATGACGTCATCTCCAAAATATACAACACTATCTAATATTATTTCCATTTTATAAAATAAGACCCTTCTCATTTGTGGTTTATGAATCCCTGTTGAATTTTTACCCGGATTTTTGAAAAAAAAAAATAATAAAATGGAATAACAACATTTAAAAATGACGTCACCTTACAATTTTGCCGAATGAGTATTAACTAAATTGTATGAAAAACATACTCCTGCATGTGTAATCTATGAATCCGTGTTGTGGTATTACCTTAATCATGCAGATTATTATTATCAGAAAAAAAAATGCACTTATTCAAAGTGATATATGTGTCGTTGATAAAATGTTGATAACGTCATCACAAAATTTTGTAATAAAAAAACTCACTTGAAACACACGCATAGCATATTCCATTACCTATACTTTAACAATCACACATATCTTTATTTTAACTTTTGGTTTATCATTAAAAAATCAATTTGCAAAAAATTAAATTTTATAATTTTTAAACTGTATGTGTTCGACTATACTTTATACGCAGAGAAGTTCTGTCGAAATAAACTCCTTTAACTAATTTTTTTGCTTCCGTATTTAATATGGTGCCGACAACATACGCTAATTATCTTTCGCAAAAATTACATATCCTCCACCGAATAGTGTGATCTTTTTAAATAAATTTGTAGAAGTATACATATATTGATACAATATCTACAAAAATGCATACGAAAGAAATTAGCAGTCGTCAGCAAAAATAAATCAAAAACTATATATAAATTTATAATCAGATTTAATCTTATTAAACTCGTCCGTGTTTGTTTCTTTTTAATTTAGAGCGTTTACTGTTGAAGTGTTCACGTTCGTGGTGAGAAATATTTTAAATTTCAGACATCGGCTCTCCGTTTTAAATGTGTTTGTATAGGACACAAGATTGGGAAATGTTAATTCTGGAAATAAATCACCTTTGATCCTCTTCAGCAACATGAAGAGGTACACAAAGTAGAACTTAATTAAAACACTAAAAACACATTAAAGATGCATTTCGAGGTATTATGTATGTAACAGTGTGACTAAAAACTGCTGAACCAATTGTCGGCAAATTTTATACGTGTATATTTTAGGAATGCGCTGTAGATGGTAAAACGCTAACCAAAGATTGCCTAATCATATCCAATAACAATTTCACGGCGTAAGCTAAGGAAGTATAGTAATCGAGTCCATCGGGCGACTTGCCAGCTACATGTACGAAAAAACTGGTCTCCCGTTTCCGTTTGCCTGTAGTCTGTCTGTCCGTTTTATTGTAGTCTTATAATCTCCGAAACTACTGGACCGACTGTTGTCAAACTTTGTATGTATATTAAGAATATCATGTAGATCGTAAAACACTAACAAAAATTTGGGTAATCGTTCCCACCAACAATTTGATGACGGCGTTTCAAAGAATTCTATTTTAAAATGATTTAAATGTTATACAACAATATACTGCTATACTTGTAGTGTACGAATCCGCTTTGAGTTTCTTCCCTAAACATAGAAATTTTCTCAAAAAAATTAACACAGTACCTATAATAACATTATACCACTAACTTTGGAAATAACCGTCCATAGTCTTACAGCTTAGGTCTCAGCACACGGACCAGCGGTCGCACGTTCTTTTTTCTTTCGCGCTGTGACTAGTATTACCTATGTAATGAGGTCATCACAAATTTTTTATTTATCAAATTAAGAACGAGTCACCCTATTTTCTCGAAAATGTGAGAATACGCACGTCTTTATTTAATAATGATAAAATAAGAGTTATAATAATAACATTCAGAACATTTTGTTCGGTTGTGGCTTAATTAATAATTTTAGTCCTCTGTTTTGAGAAGACAAACTCATTCAAATCAAACAAATTTCTACATGACATTCTTATGACGTATGAACATAAACACTCGAAGTTAAACATGTTATTATTGCTGAGAGGTCATTTTTCCCGTGGGTTATCTGCTTTAAAAATATCTTACGTTGTCTGTACTTGTACGGTGTCCCCTTGGAATTAGCGCTTCCACGACGCAGGGGTTGCGAGCTTAGATCATATAATATCTATTTATTATATGATCTAAGGTTGCGAGGGTGTTATTTATGCCGTTGGTTTATTTTTACTTTATAGAGGATATCACAAAACAAAAATCGCAAAATCAAATTTTATAATTTTTCAAAGAAGCGGGATTTGTTGCACTTATACTTCCAATTTTTTTTGTGACATTTTGTTTGAATGCTATACCGTTTTCATCACTCAAGTTGTGAGCCTAAAATCTATCGTGTATACTGAAAAGAAATAATGATGATAAGACATTTTATTATTATTAATTCTTATTATATTTATGTCTTACAAAAAAGAACCCTCATAAATCATGCGACTATTAGGTATACATATAAACTATAAACCCTATTCAACGTACACATAAAGTATGGTCATCACTAAACTCATTGAACAGTGAAGAGTGCTTCCCGGTAGACTTAATCTAATCGTTCTACGGTTCAGCAGTGACATGGAAGGCTTGACGGTAGATGTGTCGTCGCAAAAAATGCGTACAATAAAAGAACCGTCTAAAAGCGTCTTGCTGTGGTCTGAAAAATTGACTGAAGCTTTCGAGCACCTACACCCCATTTCATAAAATGTAGACAAAGTTTCAGATTACGTGATTAGTTGGAAGTTGAAAACGGACAACTTTATTAATTACAGTCAAGAAGCATCGAAGTCCCTGCATACATTTAACTTCTAAAATACATCATGCTACTCAACTTATAAAAAAAAGGCAAACCGCCAAGCGATTTCGTTGGTGGGTTCGTAAAAATAAAAATGCATCATATAGAAATTGAACTAATTGTATTTCATTTAGTTGCAAGGATATTACACATACTATAGAATAGAATTATAGATCCTCACAAAACCACAGCTACTTTTATAACAAAGGCTGGAGAGTTTCGGAAATACAGAAGTTTGACACCAGAGAATTATTATTTATGACCGCAAACCACTAGCCGACTATCTGAAGTGACTACAAAACAGAATACGCTCGTAAAAGCTTTACCCCCTTATTAATCGAAATTCCTCCACTTTGCTTTCTTTCATTTTTATGAACTTTACCTACACTAAATATTCAGATAACATGCATAAACAAGACATGGAAAGGAAATTGCCGGACGATGCCCTAAAAAATTACGCTTTCACGTTACATATCGAACAAGTGAATTTATTTAGAAAATGAGGAAAATACAAGTGAATTCCATAGTTGTCTCAAAAATTTTAAACACGATATTCTGAACCAACAAAACAATAAACAATTCGCTATGATCAGATACTAACGCAACACACAGAAGTGAATCAACGAAAATTGTATTTCACGTTATTGTTGTTATAAGACTGACTTGGAAATGACCAGCATTCAGGCAAGACTTCTATCATTAAGTAATGATACCCGCTAATGAAATTGTCAACAAAATAAACAACGTTCGAGGTCTTATTTTTCGCATTCTTTAATCGCTGTCCACCTATTTTGTTTCGTACGATCTTTCGGCAAATCAAAGGTAAACACATAGGTCACCACATTACATCTCACTAACACTAGGTTTCTTATTTTGAACAGGCGACTGAAATGTTCATACATATTACGCAAAACTAAACTAAAGAAAACCGCAATATTTACTCAGCATTAATTTAGGATTGAACAATGCATTACGATGGAAATAAGATACACAAGCCCACATTTCATTTACTCTCTAAAATAGAGCGTCTTAAAAGGCATTTATATATTACATCATCCATAACATTATTAATATTAACATGCTGTAATAGTTCTCATATTAACTGAGACTTATAAGCGCCACCTGACAGTCTCAAAAAAAATATCTTGCGAACGATAAAGCCATTTCGGAGTAAATTAATTATTCACGTTTTCAAGCAATTTTTTAATAAAAATTACAGCTAAAAATTTGCTCTCTAGCACCTAACTTTTATCTCTGGAAAATGTTTGGTCTCCGACTATTTTTTCCTATCACAAAAGTAAATCTTCGTTTCTCACTATCCCACTTTATGCAATTATGATTGATGACGACAGTTCTACATGCGCTATTCAAAAGCAGAAATATCTCGCAGTAAGTGTTTGATTAATCCATTTATAACGGCTGTTTTACTATCCGAATCGCAAACTCGATATATATGATCTCACGATTTCATAATTATGCGTTCCAGTAGGTATTTGCTCTAATAACAGTTTGTCGTTATTATTATCGAATTATTTGCCGAAATACGATTACACAGTTGCGATTGCCGAGATGTACTAGCTACTGTTGCACAAAGTGAAACAAACCTCAATATTTTATAATTATACTGTTAAATTCGAGCAAATGAGCATCTTGCTGTCAAGAGAATATCTTTAGGGTTGATTTCGTCGTAACCTCTTCTTCTTCACAGATTTCAATCTCACCCTAAGAGAAATAATTAAGAACAAATATAGAAATTACGCAAGCTAAATCAGAATTCATTGTACGACTTTTGTACATGACTTGAATCAAATAGACGCTGTTCTAGTGCGACGAAGACGTAACCGGGATAAATAAGATTTATTTTTCAATTGAGAAATATAATAACCCGTAATGTCATTAATTTGGATCAATGTTAGGCAAGAAAGGCTACCGTAGATAAACTTCGATCTCCATTCAATATAATTCAATAATTTAAAAACTGATAAAATTTTTAAAAAGCACTCTAAATTAATTACCTTCACAGCAGTTCTTTTTGCTGTTCATTTATAAAAAAATATATAATTCGGAAAATTAAATTTTATAATTTTTCGGAAAATCTGGATATGTTCTACTGTTAGTTTTTAATGGGACAGTCTCTATACATATACCTACAATACAATTTTAAAGTCAGCTTTCTCCCGTTATAAATCTGGAACCGATTACGTATAGATGTATCAAAACTATGACATATCTAAAAAAAATTAATGGCATTGAATACGATCCTTTGAGAACTTGCTTCATATAATATCAAAATTTAGAAAATTGGTCTGGTAGTTATTTAAGCAACTTCCCTCACCCCTGACTTAAAAAATAAATAAATCCACTTTATTAGATACATATATTTTAAAATTTAATTTTACGATTTTTTTTATAATACTCCCAAATAGAGTATGTTTTAAATAAGTTTTTTTTTAAATGCAATTTTGTGATTTTGTGTTTTAGGAAGAACACATCAATCTGGATAGGGACAATATAATACTAACAATAACAGTACCTACTGTACTCCCAAATTTTAAGAAAAATAGGATGAGCCGTTCTTAATAAAATAACATTCTTAAAGACAATAACTGTAAAATGCTCCCAAAATTTCAAATTATCGGATCGGTACGGGAAAAAACATGAAACTTGCATTTTGATATTTCTATAATATGTGAAACTTCAAGAAAACATTAAATCAGACATAGCTAAAATGACCATCTTACAATGCTTCCCTTAACTATTGCTATCGAAATAAAAATATGAATATACAACATTTAAATAGAAGATCTTTATAAATATTTAAAATCTTATTTTAGCGCAATAACAAGCCAACGAACTACGTAGAATCGTTAAACTCACCTTAAAACGTAAACGAAGAACATTTCCAGCATAAAAATGCGTATTACTTTCCCAGCAACAAATGTACAAAATAATTTCTTTTTCCTTAACGCAAAATTGAAACTGATATACTTAGGTACGTTGTACTGTTTTCAGGTCCGATCGTCGAGGAGCACCAGCAACTTTGTAAAAATGCTAGCGATATGCACGTTCCGGAATATCTGGAGACAGTGCTGATCACAGTACTTGGGAGTATCGTCATCATTGTTCTACTATTATGTTATGCTCGAGTATTTCGACACATTTGCTGTCCTCCGCGTCCACCAAAGAACAATCATCGACAGAAATGTAGAAGAGAATCTATTTCCCTTAAATATATCATGCATCTATCAAACCAACCCACCGAAACAAGTGTAGTATAATTGGTTAATAATGTTAAAGAACTTTAAATCAGAAAATATTTTGCACAAGGCCCAAAGATGTTTATAATAAGAAGTGCTCGGCATCGGTAATATAAGTGAGGTAATAAGCTAATAAGACTGTACGTACCATAACCTAGCCATATAGCATGTAAATATTAATATATTGTGAATTATGTGTACTTTCTGTTGCAGAAAGAAACGCCGAGATTTTATATGTTTTGTTAAAATGTAGACTAAAATAAATATTTTTCAGATCTAACTGATTTTTTTCTAAAATTAATCTCAAAATTTTGTACAGTTAATCTCATTTGAAGTGTTCAGATTAGAATGATTCTTAGAGTTTCTTCATACATTCCTATATTTTAGAATTGTTAATTGTTACTACAGTGTCTCAAAAATGAAGCAATTTATTGTATTTTACTACCTAATGTGGTATTTATATTAAATCAAAAACTTGTCTCATTTTACTAAAATCCTGTAAACACACAGTACCCACTGTTATCATTAACATTAACACTGTACCTGTCCAAGGTGGTTTATCTGTCTCTGCTACAAATTTGATGACGTCATCACACAATTTTATTGAGCAAAATCTTATGTATTGAAACATACGCATATAATATAATCATGCAATTGCGGCTCGTAACTTTTTCTCTCGAAGAGGCCACTGTTTGCATGATTATTTTTATAAAATTGTGCGTCATTAATCATTATAAAAGTATCTTGCTATTAAATGTAGTTTGACTGCAAAAATTCAACGCAAAATAAAACATTTGATAAATATTACTACCTATTTTTTATTTAGTTTGATTAGGATTGACAATATACCACCGATCAAATAATTTAACTCTCAAGTATACTTACTTAAGTCATAATCGTAAATTACCACTACTTTTTAGATAAAAATGTTCTCTTCGCAAGTAAATGTTCAATAATATTTAGAAATTTTGTATAAATACATCTAAAAATAGGCGCTGAAAAATATGGAGTTTTACATATATTTTAATCACATTTAAGACCCACTACTGAGTCGGAAAAAAACGGCGTTCAAGCAAGACTTATTATCATTACGAATACAGAGATCAAAATAATAATGACATTCGTTGACAATTGCTTTTAAAATTGACCTAACCTGACCTGAGATTCTAGAACTACACAACGTGCCTATACTGATTTGAGGCGTTTCTAATTTGCAGACCACAGTTTATCTTGCAGACTGGGGGTTAAAAATGCTCCAATCAAGTTGAAACTCAACAGTTGTTTATTTCTCAATACGAAGATTATTAACACAAAATTTCAACCCGATCGGAGAAACCGTTAAAAACTACCCCCAAAACAACCTTGCAGACTGGCACTTAAAAATACTCTAATCAAGTTAAATTTTGACATTCGCTAGTTCTTCAATACGAGGATTATTGATGCAAAATTTCACCCCATTCGGAGAAACCCTCAAAAATCATCCCCAAAACAACCTTGCAGACTGGGGGTAAAAAATGCTTCAATCAAATCAAAACTCGATATTTGTTTATTTCTCAATACGAAGATTATTGACACAAAATTTCAACCCGTTCGGAGAAACCGTTAAAAACTACCCCCAAAACAACCTTGCAGACTGGGGCTTAAAAATACTCTGATCAAGTTAAACTTTGACAATCCCTAGTTTTTCAATACGAGGATTATTGATGCAAAATTTCAGCCCATTCGGAGAAACCCTCAAAAATCACCCCTAAAACAACCTTGCAGACTGGGGGTTAAAAATGCTCCAATCTAGTTAAAACTCGATATTTGCTTATTTCTCGATACGAAGATTGTTAATACAAAATTTCAACCTGTTCGGAGAAACCGTTAAAAACTACCCCTAAAACAACCTTGCAGACTAGGGCTTAAAAATATAATATATATATATAAAAATACTCAAGTCAAAATTTGACATTAATTTATTTTTTTATTATTTTATTGTTAATTATTAATTAATTTATTTATATTTAAATTTAAAAAATATATAAATTACGAATACATATAGGAGTATTTGTTACAGATACGTGAATTGTGATAATTTGAGTTCATGTTTATCGCTGTTAGATAATTGTTGCTACTATGTAAGAATGCATAAGTTGGGCATTTTTTCGTCCAATCTCTCATTTTTTGTGCGTTTTTACACGTCATTTTTGTTGTTAACTTGGTTCATTCAGTACATACTATATGCTGCTTTTGAGTTCTTTGAGATATAATTAAACTTTCATCATCAGTCAAAAAATACAAAGTTAGTGGTGTCCAAAAGAGAAAATTTAAAATTCAGAGGAAACAAAATCTTAAAGATATTTTAAAGAAAATTAGAGACATTTTCCGAGAAACCTAACGTAAAAAAAAACGTTTTGAGAAAAAATTTAAATTAATAATAATAGAAAGCTCAAACTTAATTTTATTTGAATTTCAAAAAGAACCCAGAAATATGCTAATTTCTTAATTAATTATTATTATTAATGGGAAAACAAATAAAGATTCGTTATATTCAATACGACGCAAAATTGTCTTCATATGTAGGTCTTACAGCCTTTGGATGGTGTCCACGTCCATTTCTCTAACTGTCTGGTAAATTGTTCTTTTTAATTGTTCTTCTAAATTGGCTTCCCAGCCGTTGTTGTAAACCTTTCTACTTAGTATTCCCCAAATTTTGTTTTCGATTGTTCGCACTGGGGGCACTATGGGGGGATTACCTTTTCTTAAGTACAAAACTTATATTATTGCTTTCTAACCAATCCCTGGACATTCTAGTATAATGGCAACTTGCTAAATTTGGCCAAAATATTACATCGTCGTTATTATGGTGTTCCCATATATTGTTATGTATTGACCGCGTCACCTTTAGTACGGCCAATGAATTGTGCTGAAACGCCGGCCGAAGATATAGCCCATCAAACCAAAATTTTATCTTCAAATTTTGCCTTCGACTTAAATTTTACTTTTAATTTCTTCTATATTGTTTGTATAAAATCCATCGTTACCTTCCATCTCTGAATGGGCAAATGTAAAACACACGATTGTCCAGAAAATGATGAATTCTCAATAGCCGGCAACATCTAAGAATTCTCTCTAACTGCGATGCTGTATGTTTTGAACATTTAGCTCTTTTGCTGTATTTTAAGTTGTTTTTGCCTATTTCTCTAGAAACTATTGTATAGGAACTCTAAACAATCGAGCCAATCTTCTTGTTGATGTTCCAGGCTCTTGTCTTTCTTTTTAATCTTTCTAAACTTATTGTGATATTGCTACCTCGCAGTCTTTAATTGTTCTGTATATAGTTGCGCGTGTAATATATTTGGTCCAAAATATATTCACAATTTCACTTTTAGATACTTGGGTAACTAACTGGTATATGGCTCTTTGCAACTCTGTTTTGTATGACATTGTTTAAGCGTTAATTGACATAAATCTATGACATAAATTGTATAAAATGGGAAATAAGAAAGTTTGTTTGGTTACGCTGTTGCAAATGTAACTTGATTCGATTGCATTTTAAGTTCAAAAAAAGATAGGAGTATATGTAAATTTTTCTCAAAACTCTTTTACGTACTAGCGGTAAAAGTGACATAGAATTGGAAAATCTTAGTAAAAGTAAAGACGACTACAGTTAAGACTAATCTAGTTGAGTGCATGTATTTAGGGAAATTTTAGTTGTATTGATAAATTAAATTCTTAGATGGAAATAACGATATAGATGTGAAAATTCGAGAAAAAAAATATAGAATTTGAAAGTATACATGATTTTAATCTTTCCAATGGCACTACATACCTTATTTATAAACTGTTGACACATGATCTACAAATTAACAAAAAAAAGAAGACAAATAAACCCAAAATTTAATTTAATTTAACAAAATAACAGAAACAGACCAACTAGGATATTTTCTTAATTAAAATAATAAAGGAGGCTGTTGTTGTAAACAGTGTTTTTCATCATTTGATTATAAGTTTGGCAGTTAATAAACGTTTTCACGCGAAAATAATGCCGTTAACTCTTACAGACGTCTCCCAAATTGTCGCTCTGTTTCTGTTATTTTGTTAAATTAAATTTAATTCTGCGTTTGTTTGTCTTCTTTTTTGTTGCTAATTTATACATCATGTGTCAACAGTGAATGGTTCTTTAATAAAACAACGATCACTAGTTATATTAACAATTTCTAAAGTTTGGTTCCGCGAAATTTTACAGTGTGGCAGGTTTTTTGCCGCTCAGTGTATATACATTAAAATACAGTTATAAAAGGTAACAAAACAATATTTTTCATAATTAACAATGCATATTAAGATCATTAGGTGATTAATTATTGTAGGAATTAGCTCGGTTCGCGCAAAGGTGGAGATAACACAACGACCGTAGCAACGAATCTTAACCAATTAAAAACTCAAGTAAATTTGCTGCTGCTGCTTTTATATGCTTTCTTATGAAATTATTTTTGTTTTATGCCTAGTATCCCGCAAACGCTTTCGAGCACGCCACTGGAACAACCAGTTTCTCGGAGGACCTGGAAGAACCATTTTTTAAGGCCCAGTCTTCAAGGTTGTTTTGGGAGTAGGTTTTAACGGTTTCTCCAAAAGGGTTGAAAATTTGCATCAACAATCTTCGTATTGAGGAATAAGCAAATCTCGAGTTTTGACTTGATTGAAGTATTTTTTACCCCCAGTCTGCAAGTCTGTCTGGGGGTAGTTTTTAAGGGTCTTTGCGAACGGGTTAAAATTTTGTGCCAACAATTTTCGTATTGAGAAATAAGCAAATGTCGAGTTTTGACTTGATTGGAGTATTTTTAATCCCCAGCCTGCAAGGTTGTTTTGGGGGTGATTCTTGAGGGTTTCTTCAAATAGGCTGAGATTTCGTATCGATAATCCCCATATTGATAAACTAGCGAATATAAAATTTTGACTTCATTGGAGCATTTTTAATCCCCAGTCTGCAAGGTTGTTTTGGGGGTGATTTTTGAGCGTTTTTTCGGATAGGCTGAAATTTTGTATCAACAATCTTCGTATTGAGAAATTAAGAAATATCGAGTTCCGACGTGATTGGAGCATTTTTAACCCCCAGTCTGCAAGGTTGTTTTGGGGGTGATTTTTAAGGGTTTCCCCGAACGGCTTGAAATTTTGTATCAACAATCTTTGTATTGAGAAATAAGCGACTGTCAAGTTTTGCTTTGATTGAAGCATTTTTAATCCCCAGTCTGCAAGGTTGTTTTGGGGGTGATTTTTGAGGGTTTTTTCGAATAGGCTGAAATTTTGTATCAACAATCTTCGTATTGAGAAATTAAGAAATATCGAGTTCCGACTTGATTGGAGCATTTTTAACCCCCAGTCTGCAAGGTTGTTTTGGGGGTGATTTTTAAGGGTTTCCCCGAACGGCTTGAAATTCTGTATCAACAATCTTTGTATTGAGAAATAAGCGACTGTCAAGTTTTGCTTTGATTGAAGCATTTTTAATCCCCAGTCTGCAAGGTTGTTTTGGGGGTGATTTTTGAGGGTTTTTTTCGAATAGGCTGAAATTTTGTATCAACAATCTTCGTATTGAGAAATTAAGAAATATCGAGTTCCGACTTGATTGGAGCATTTTTAACCCCCAGTCTGCAAGGTTGTTTTGGGGGTGATTTTTAAGGGTTTCTCCGAACGGCTTGAAATTTTGTATCAACAATCTTTGTATTGAGAAATAAGCAACTGTCGAGTTTTGCTTTGATTGAAGCATTTTTAATCCCCAGTCTGCAAGGTTGTTTTGGGGGTGATTTTTAAGGGTTTCTTCGAATAGGCTGAAATTTTTGTACCGATAATCCTCGTATTGAAAAACTAGCGATTGTTAAATTTTGACTTGATTAGAGTATTTTTAAGCCCCAGTCTGCAAGCTTGTTTTGGGGGTAGTTTTTAACGATTTTTCCGAACGGGTTGAAATTTTGTGTCAACAATCTTCGTATTGAGAAATTAAGAAATATCGAGTTTTGACTTGATTGGAGCATTTTTAACCCCCAGTCTGCAAGGTTGTTTTGGGGGTGATTTTTAAGGGTTTCTCCGAACGGCTTGAAATTTTGTGCCAACAATCTTCGTATTGAGAAATAAGCACATGTCGAGTTTTGACTTGATTGGAGCATTTTTAATCCCCAGTCTGCAAGGTTGTTTTGGGGGTAGTTTTCAACGATATCTCCGAACGGGTTGAAATTTTGTATAAACAATCTTCGTATTGAGAAATTAGGAAATATCGAGTTTTGACTTGATTGGAGCATTTTTAACCCCCAGTCTGCAAGGTTGTTTTGGGGGTGATTTTTAAGGGTTTCTCCGAGCGGCTTGAAATTTTGTATCAACAATCTTTGTATTGACAAATAAGCGACTGTCGAGTTTTGACTTGATTGAAGCATTTTTAATCCCCAGTCTGCAAGGTTGTTTTGGGGGTGATTTTTGAGGGTGTTTTCGAATAGGCTGAAATTTTGTATCGATAATCCTCGTATTGAAAAACTGGCGAATATCAAATTTTGACTTGATTGGAGTATTTTTAAGCCCCAGTCTGCAAGATTATTTTGGGGGTGATTTTTAAGGGTTTCTCCGAACGGCTTGAAATTTTGTGCCAACAATCTTCGTATTGAGAAATAAGCACATGTCGAGTTTTGACTTGATTGGAGTATTTTTAAGCCCCAGTCTGCAAGATTGTTTTGGGGGTGGTTTTTAAGGGTTTTTCCGAACGGGTTGAAATTTTGTACCAACAATCTTCGTATTGGGAAATAAGCAAATGTCGAGTTTCGATTTGATTGCAGCATTTTTAACCCCCAGTCTGCAAGATAAACTGTGGTCTGCAAATTAGACAGGCCCACTGATTTGTTTATTGTTGTTGCCCTCTAACCCCACGTCAGATCCGCAAGTCTACCGATTTTGATCCACGCATCACCTAATGATACCATACGCTAAATTATATATTAACGATCATAAATTATTGTGTGTATTTAAGTGAGTTTATATTTTAATGAAATTCGTCTTTCTTTTTTAGAAACAAAATGATCTAGAATTTTGTCATAAAATAAAGTTTGTTTCATTAAATTTCGTACAAAGTCTTTTAAATTCTTCAAAATTTAGTAATTCAAAAAACTGTAAACTTCCAATATCAATTTATAACAAAGAAGGTAACTTCACCATGGTACCTTCTTTGTTATAAATAATTCTTGGTTTCTTGGTGTTTTTCCATTGTGCCGAAAGGTCGTACTTTCGCGCTATTTGGACTATTTGGAGAACCAACCGGTGGACGGAAACAGCTACTTCGCGTATGTTCCCGTACAAAACCCCGCCGGACGCTGAATTACACCGAACTATACTAGTGTCACCACGTTCGCGGATTTTCCCGCGTTCCTCTCAATTGTGTGTAAACAGGTTACAATTCTTGGTTCATCATAAAATCTAGCTCTTTTTGTTAGAGGTTCAATTTTATTGGTATGGTCCCCAACAAAAATATGAAAGTGTTTTTCCACTTTTTGAAACCTCATTAGTAGGTATGTACATCTAACTACTAACTTGACTAATCTTTAAATGTCTGTCAACTTATTTTGTAAAATATTTAAAAACTAATTGTTTGGTCAAAAATTAATTTAAATGTATATACCTATATAAACAGAAATTAAAATCAAAATATTTTAATAAATTTCTTAAACCTATGGCTCCTCTGACAGAATTATCATCTCTGCCAAAACTATCACTATTAATAATATCAAATACTTCTTTTAATTTTTCATTTATTGATACCTCTGTTTGAACACTTCTAAATGTAAAATTTCATTTTGTCTGTACATTACTTTGAATTCTTTTCTTACATACTTGATCTAAAATTATACACCATTTCGTTGATTTTGAAAAAATATACGGACGTCTAAATAGAAAGTTTTTATTTGCATCGCTTAAAACTAATTTTAAATTATGCGCATAACCATGAAATGCTTAAGGGTCAATTATCTTTATTTTGGCTTGAAGCCCATTAAGTTCCCCAGCCCATTACTGCTGCCCCATTATCTAATATATATTTGTATGTATTGATGAGGCGGTTACTTGTTTAAAGTCCATATTAATGTTATTATTAAAGAAAAAACTTTTAAGAGTTTAAATAATTTATTAGTAGGCACGGCTACACGTGTTTCGGTACACTTGAAAAAAAAAGTTTTTTCTTTTATTTGTTCCTCACTTGTAAACATCAATTTACCAAGTCACTGTATTCAACATGAAAATGTCACTTAACTGGCTATAGCCTGTAAAAATTTTACTGGCTAGCCAGTCAAACTTTTACATCCCTGCTCGTGCTCATACAGCGTTGTATTTTAAACATTTTAAACTACTATAAGTTGAAATGACAGCCAAAATTGACTCAGGCAAATTTCCACTCACAATTGCTGCTTCCTCAGTAATATAGCTTGCGCCACACTCACTTCAATACATCGAAAACGATAAATCGAAAAATCTAAATGACAGAACTAGACAACACAATAACTGCTATGATAAGTGCCATGCTGACGTGCGTTTCCAAGGTAATACGTCTAAAGCTCACACGATATTTCTTCAAATATTGGAACTTCTAGACCTGGTTTATAGAAACCGAAGTTAAAGTTAATTCGCGATTAACTTTTAATTGAGGTTCGTTGCTAGGCGACGTGCAGGTTTTAACCAATCACGAGCTCCCATTCCACATTTTAATCCAGTGTTAAATTAATCGAGGATTAAATATTTAACTCGCGTTTCTATAAACCGGCCCCTAGAGTTTTTAATAGTTTATAGGAGTAATAGTTAGTTACAAGTGAGAAACAAATAAAATATTCAACAATATACGCAAAGTAACGGGTTTTTACTGGCTCCAGCAGGTTACTGGCTCGCCAGTCATATCCTTCTGTCCGCCATTAAAAACCCTTTTACCATGCTAGTAATGTTAAATACTACATATAATATTAAGATCTAATATAATCTTTGCCATTTCTATTGAAACACCACCTGTTGATTTTGCCTAAAATTTAGCAATTGCTAATAGTTTTCGGTTGATTGACAACGGCTTTTAGTTAGAAAATTGTCTGAATATGAACTTTGCCAAATTTACGATCAACAAGTGGTGTTTCAATAGAAATGGCAAAGACATTATGTAGGTATTTGTTGATTTTGTCATAACTAAACACTTTTTGTTGTTATGGAATAGATACAAACCTGCTTTTGTTTCTTTTCTGATTGCCGCTTTTTTTTTAAGTTTAACTTATGGTTTTTTCTAAAATAAAGAGAAGCGCTTTCATTATCACAACATTAAATTAAAAAAATGTTTTTTTTTTAAATAGCAATGAAATATCTCTTTTAACACTTTATTCTAAAATCAGCAATGCTGACATAAACTGAAGAAGTGTAACAATATAAAAAAAAAAAAACAGAAATTCTTATCCCACATTTGTGATGGTAAACAACAATGAACAAAACTTGTACTAAACTTACAGCAAATCAAAAACTATACAACAATAAAATAAACAACAAAGTTATGAGCCTAATCATTGTTCTGTTAAAGTTATCCATCAGCAGAAATATACAATCTGCTATGAATTGGGTGGTTGACTTCTCATATGATTATTGTGTCTTCGTAATACCTGCACCACTGTCTCTTTTAACATTTGAGGCTTACAGTATTCTTCTAACCAACTAAAAACGCCCGCAGATAACTCAGAAAAGTTACTTACTGAAACATTATTAAACGTGAGAAACAACTGCTCCATGATGGCTTGAAACTGAAACATTTAATTAATGAGAACATTGTATTTTCACTCAAATAAAAAAAATACCACGGAAAATTTAACTTCATCAGAAATTCTAGTCTCTGTGTGTCCTGGTTGAGTTTGCTGCGCTTTTACTATTTGTTCATAATTAGTTTGCATAATTCGAAGAGCTACAACCTCTTTTCTTAAAGCATTCCTTTCTTCTTCTTGTTTCTTCTTCTGCTGTTGTAAATATTGAATGTAGTCTATAGACTTTTGGAGTACAGTTGCTTTACTTAGCTTATAACCTTGTCAGAGAAAGGTAAATGGTGACTAGTTAAAAAAAAAAAGAAAAGGGAAGAAAAATACCAGAAACATCAGTTTGTTGACAAGTTGGGACTAATTCCTGCAACGTATCATAACCCTTCTTAATTGCGTCTCTCCGTTTTTGCTCTGCCTGAGTATGGGCTTCTCGACGTCGTTCTTTGTAACTCATTGGTGAAGGTTTACTTTCGATCTCATCTTCATCGTCTATGAACAATGGTTGAGTTAATTTTCCCTACAGAAAAATATTATACCTGAATTAAGCGATGAAGAATTGCCAATACCGATTGAACCAGTACTGTTGCATCTTGTAAACGGGTGATCCCGTGGCATTTTTATTCTTAAACGATAACCGTATAGGTGATATTTAAAAAGAGTAATTGCACATGCTTGGAGGTTAATCTGGTTGTGTGTGCATGGGTCTTGCCTCAATAAAAAATTGATTGGTGTACTTTTATCACTCGAAAGATAAGAGGAAAAATCAGCTGTTGCAGAATATAACACAGGCGTAAAACAACGAATTCGGAATTTTTAATCAAACTACGACCAAAACATATCAGATGGGGAGTAGCCATTATGCAATCACATCATCTTATACATGTACTACGTGTTGCCTAACTTAGAAAAAAAAAAACAAGTTTTATGAGTATGACTTATCCATTTGTTTATGGATCTATTTATTTAATACTCTTTCTCATTTTATTTTTTTTACCGAATTGGGTGAACTTTTACAAAACTTCTCGATTTCGCACAAACTGTTTGAGCAAAACTCTCCTTCAAAAGTTGTGCAAATGCCTCCTTGTGTCAGAAAAAAATCTTTAGTGTTCACCCTATAGTCCGGCACTTCGCACCCTATTAGTTCCGCCAAATGTAGGCAACCAACTACACACGCACTTTAATTTTGTCATTTTCTTGTAATGGAATAAATATTATTATTATTGATAGATTGTAAAGTAAAAATACTTAGCGTAATGTTTGTACCTACACCGTGTCAATAAATGATTCTGGTATCAATGGGTGCTTTTGGATGACACGGAAATGTGTCGTACTGTGGTAACGAGGCGACAAAATAATAAAATCTGTGATAAAATTAACAAAAGAATTTACAGTCACACTTGACACCTGAATCATTTATTCATTTATTAGCTATTGGAGACATTATTACCTCAAAGTAAATTAGGCACGTCACGTTGTACATTCCTGATGAGGTACGGAACTTGAGAACACTATACGAATGGATGTATGAATAAGTTAAAATTATCACACAAATAATTTATTAACTAAATAAAATACGGGTACATAGGTACATATATTAAATTTGAAAATAGACAATTTTTTTCTTTGTTTATTCAATTTATACTTTGTTAATTTAAATCTAGTAGTGTTTATTATCACACCTATTCCTAAATTTCTGAATAAAATAAAAGGACACTTTTTGTTAAATTAAGTTAGAAATCATAGAGATTATAGTGTATCAACAATGTTTAGTAAATTAAACTACCTAAAAACTAATGAAATTAGTAAACCTGTTAATACTTCATGCAAAATATTCTATGTAAAGCATAATATTGAATCTTGTAATATACATGTCAATTTACACTGTAAATAAAAGAAACTAACTAAACGTTAATGTTTACAAAAATTAGTCTAAGTAAATTAAAAATTAATCTTGTACTAGAAAAGTTGTAACTGTATGTTAACATACACAAAAACTGGCAGTGTCCAAACAAAACACGTTTGAAAATTTAATTTGGACCCTACAAATGAAATCCATTCAATATAATATACACCGTAGCGAATTTTATACAAAATACAAAAGGGGCAAGAGAGTTAGTCTATCACACATAATGCTCTAAACTGGCTAGCAAATATGGACACTTCCTGAGACACAATATACAACAGACATGGAGAGCATGTAATACTTTAAAGCTGAGTAATATTGTACTTCTACTGTTTTTTGGTGGGAGGTGATGATAAACAAAAACCTTGCTGTGCACGAAAAAGCTCGAAAAATTCACGACAAACAAATAACACTGTACCAGTCTTAAAAGGCGGTTTCCAAACGAACAAAAAAAAATAATAGTTTACACTTCACTACGAATGTTGAAATGAAGCTCTGCTTTCTCAAAACAAACATGCATCTCTCAAAACATTTCCGTATTTAAATTTTTGATCTCTTATTGGTGCGCCCCTTCACGATCCTGCGCGACTTTTTATTCGTGGTCGCCCTCGTCGGCGTATCCTTATCATCTAATTTCCTTTTAGTACTTTTAGTACTTGTGCTAGGTACGTACGATTCAGTTATAAGCGGAGATTCCGCCTCCGGTTCTTCAACTGGAATTTCTGAAGTCGATTCACCGCTAGTCTCAGGAATGGGAACGAATTCCGAAAGAGGTTCTAAGCCAAAACCTTCGGGATTGACCCCTTGATTAACCAATGCTTCCAGTTCTTCTGGATGAGGAAGAACGGCGTTGCCACAGCTGGTGCAAAACAATGGTGTTGCTGGCGATTTTGAACGCCAATATTGCAATTCTGTCTTGCACTTATTAAGCTCTTGTAACAATGTACTGAATTTACGCGAAATTTCCTCGTTCTTCTTTTCGTTTTCGTCCATTCGAGAAGCATATTCCAAAATCTGTTTCTGTTGTTCCGCTAACTGCTTCTGCTGCTCAGACATGAGTTTTTGCTGCTCAGCAGCTTTTTGTCTGCAAGATCTCACATCTTGTCGCAGAATTGTCAACTGACTGTTATACCTTTTCATTCCTTGTTTAATCTTCCTTATCCCTATAAAGAGCGACACATTAGCATCTGTCATAAAAAAAATTGCACAACCAATTCTGCATGTCTGCTAGAACGTTTTCTTAAATAAAGATTTTAGAAACTATGAAATGTGGGAAAAAACATCAAATTAGGCATTCTTCAAACGGAGCTCCTATTTTACACTTGGAAAGTAAACATCTAATATAGAAAATTCTCGTGTCACAGTATTTGTAACCGAACTCCTCTGAAACGCCTTGAAATTTTTTGTGTATATTCGGTAGGTCTGAGAATCGTCGTAAACTATTTTTTATACCCCTAAGTGATAAGGGTGGCCCATCCAAAAACATTTTTGTTTATTTTTTGGACAAAATTTTTTATTTTTATTTTTTTAAGATTTGGCATCAAAAAATACCCTAAATTTTCACCCTTCCACCACCAACCCACATTTCTTCATAACGATATTAGTATCTTTACTTTCATCCACAGATGCGCAATAGGATTGAAAGATGGCTGTTGAATATAATAATTGTCGTACGATAAATTTTTATGTATAATTTATAATTTAATTTAATTATAATTTATTTATTTATTTTAATTTAATTTTTATTTTAACTACCAAAATATTCACCAGAAATAAATTATATGGCAAAACAACATTTGCCGGGTCGGTTAGTAAATATATATTATTATCATACTATATGCAACACTGCATCTCTGGCATTTTGTTTTTTACAAAATTCTACGCATTCGATTTTTTTTTTTCTCTACAGATAAATTTTAAAAAAATCGATGTTCTGTGATCGTTATTGTTTTGGCAAAATTTCAAAAAAATCGGTAATTTTAATTTTCTTTTTTCTTTTTACACAAATTTCACGAGATTAAGAATATGGATAAGTGAAATTTCTTCAATTTTTTAGGCGGAATAAGCAGACAAGTTTTGGCGCCAAAGAACAGACGAAAATATCTTACCAGACTGAGAAACGTGGGGAAACATAAAATTAAGCATTCGACAATGTGATCTTATTGATACATGTACTTTCTTGGCTCGCAGTCGGAAGTGAAAAACGCGAAAATATACTGGTAGAGCTCTCTTCAAAATGTAACTTTTTTTCAAAACAAGATAATTAATTGCACACAAACGTTACACTTTCAATCATCTATTGCTCCAATCTACATCGCCAATATTTAATACAGTTTTTGTGGAACGTAAACCTTTTTGCACGATAAATTAATTTAAAAATTACAAACCATATTATACGAAAATAAAAGGCCCAAGATAAGGGAATGCAACAAGTATTAAATTTAACAATACAAGTGTTACAAAAATTACATACAGTTTTTTATTTGATGATAAATACATCTTTAAGAGTTTAGTATTTTGAAGAGAAACATTATTATAAGACAACGTGAACTGATTTTCCGTAAATACAGATAATACAAATAAAGACGCTAAAATTTACTATAAAACGGTACTCGAAATTATTTTTGATTTGTAAAACATTAGCACTTACATATCCACGAGTACGAATTAATTTCGCAATTTGACAAGGCAACCGTTTATCCATCTGATCTTTATGAAAGTATTCATGTGAAACTAAATGAATTTTTACAAATCTAATCAAGTGAATATATGTACTACCTTTACGTAATACGATGTTGGACTGCGGCGCCCCTTCCTGCGAAGCGTCAGCATTTGGAACATCATGTACTTGATTATCATTATCTTTCGTTTCTTCCATGTCTATAGAGTAAGAATCCAAACACAAATAGCTTTTTGAGCTCGTCGCTACAACATACGAAAACTGTACAGACAATTCAAAAAAATCATACATACTTACAAGGATAACTGCCAGCAAAATCAAGGAAATCTGTATTGAAATATGCAATTTCGGGCAGATCTGGTTCAATTTTTTCTTTAAAATATTCCATTGCCATTGTTGACAAGTCAAAAAGTTCGTCAGTGACCTTATAGGGACGTGCTAATTTTGGGGTAACTTTGATATAGTGTAAAATGTGTAAAACCTCATCCAGAATCTCGCCAGGAAAGAAACAACAATGTTTGCGTTCTATATGTTTACCAAGCGACATCTGTAAGAGAGTTAATCTCATGTGAAGCGTTTCTATGATGTCACTTTCGCATGCTAAGTGGTGGTTTCTTCTGGCGCTTTCTCGACGAGGCATTTTCTTTTTAATTTCGTGAAATCGATCAAGAAGTTGATGTTGCAGACGTTGAAACGTTGAATTTAAAATATGGCCGCAAATACGATCGATTCGGGTGCATACCTGCAAAGGACAATATCGTTATACGTAACCAGAAAATTAAGAAGACTTGCTATCGCAGCACATGTTGAAGCAAAATGGAAATGTTAAAGTACAGAAACTGCAGACTTTTGATATAAATCCTTTGAAGGCTAAGCAATGTTTTCAATATTTTTATCATGCATCATTTTATTACACCCAATTTGGTCCAATGTTCACAAAGAGTACTTCATCGTTTTAATATTAAGAACTGAACATCACAATACAAACAGATCAAAAATATGTTGATAGTTATGAAATTTTAATAAAAAAAATTTTATGCTTCATGAAAATGTTCAGTAATTTTTGTGTACAAACTAAATTTCACTACTACTTTACGCCGGTCAAAATAAAAGTGTAATTTGTTTTTACTGAAACCGTTCAGAAAGTCACATTCTCACGACTATTTTGAATCTTGAAAGATTTTACTGAAGACTTTTACAGTACTGTAATGATTTTAGGGTACTCCTTCCGATTTTAGTAGTACATGCAATTGAAAATACGCCAATATTGATGGTCTCACAAAGTAATTAATAAAGAAAACCTTCATAGGCTTTGTCATTTTTTTCCCGTGATCGTTTATTCCAATAATGGAGTAATGAATATTATTTCATTGAAACTGATAACTTCTTTGTCGCTTTAAAAATAATCTTTGGCCACTTTAGTCTTGCACACATAATTAATGATAATAATTTCTAATTACCAGATGTGAGATGATGTGCACCAAACAGGGCATTCCACATTACTTGTCAACATTATACACAATAAATGTATTTTCAGTTAAAAAATGCAGTATTTATGTTGATTATTGATTTTTTAACAAAAACATGCAGTTTATATTGAATAATCATGCAAAGCCTCGTAACTGATTTTACAACACACAAAAATATGTATACTTACAAATCTCAGTTGGCATATATTTTTGTATGTTAAATAACTGAAAATTTTTTCGATAACTTCCTGAGGTAGATCTAAAAAACGTGGCTTTGAAGGTACACTGTTGCTGGTGGCGATGGCTTTACTGCTGCACTGTCCTTGATTGGAATGTGCAGCAGCCGTACTATTTCGAGTGTATTTAGCAGGACCATTGTCAGTGCTTGTACTACAGTGTTCCGAACTCTCAGAAGTTCCACTATTACCAATAGACATCTGCCTCGTTGAAACCATTTCAATAGTCTCTCCAAGCAACCCAACAAATCACTCCTTCATCTAGAGACCCATCAAAAAGAATTTTTCTGCATAAGATAATCAAACCGAGAAAGTTTATAACAAATTAAAAGATGAAACCGAACATCAAACTTTGGAAAATGAGTGTTGATGTGCGATTATCGGGAATAGAATCGAACCAAATCGGAATTTTCAATGGATATGTCAATGGAATAATCAAAAATGGATGAACCTACCTGAAACAGCTTTTCCCTTTCATTTGCGAACGGATTATGTATACTCGCACATTTTAAGTTTGATTTTCGAAAGTGCGACGATTTTATTAGTAATCTGCAGAGTTTAGTTTTACGTTGGCGAAATGTTCCAGAGGACAAAGGCTTTGCAAACTTCTGGACTATTTCCAAACGTTAGATCTGGATCCAAAATCTGGAGATCGCAGCGACAAAACTCACTAAACCAACATCGCCAATCCACTAAACTAAAAGAACAAAAGTACCAAGGCACACGCGCGAATATAATTGACCTATCACAAAAATTCTCTTTCTAAACTCGGTGAAGTGGTATTCTTCATTCTTAACAAAATTGTTCACAACTTCCCTAATCTTTCTTGGATTAATATGTCGCGCACATAATCATTTATAAATTTGAAAAAGATTTTCTAAATAACTTTTACAAGCGACGTCGTCGACTTTCTTGAAGCGATGAACGAACACAAAGCACATAGTTTTCTATTACACTGAAATACTGATGATAGATAACGTTACTATGTCTTGTCAGCATCATAGAGAAAAAACAATTTCTCAGATAATCGAAGTCAATTTACATATTTTTTTTAAGATGAGCATAAACAACTGAAGCAATTTAACATACGCTTCTTTAAATTTTTTTAACTCGGTAAACTGGTAGTTTAGAAACGTACGTATGTGTCAATATCAAGTTAAACCGGAACAAAATAATAATATCTAACCTAAAAAAAATTGTTGAATAGACTTAGATCATAATAGATACCAACACGCCGTATACTTTCCTTACGAGAGCCTGTGATAACATCCTTGTGTCACAAATCTCTCTTGTATATAATGGGATTACAATGAAGCTATCCTTGCCTGATCACTATTTGAATTTGGCGCGCCTAAATTTTAGGAAGTATGTCGGAACTAACTTCGTGCGAAAGATGTTGACAGCTTGATTTTATAAATAATTCACAGTAGGTAACGAAAGGAATAGTAAATTATTGGACAGCGATAAATTGTGATCCATTATGATACTTAAAATAGGATCTGTGTTCTAAATTCTGAAATGGTTGTTCTTATAAGAACTTGAATGACAGGTTAGAACAAACATCTGTCAAAAAAGCGATGTGTACGCTGGCGCGGTAATGGAAGCGAAATAAACATATACAGAGGAAATGCATATAACAAAGATGAAGATGTAATGATCACACAAGGATAGCATTATGCTACTCCCCTTGACGTAGAAAACGACAACATATACCTTCATGTCTAGTCTTCTAGTCACAGCTTCCAGTTTGAGTATTGGTATCTATTTATTACATGATTAAAGAGAATAGATAGGTTGATACTGCTATACACTAACATGTATCCGTGTATCCCTGGTTAGCAACGCTAATTGCCGATAATACGAACATGCAAAAAGCCAGAATTTAAAGTTGGGGGTCATGACAGCCACATGACGTCACATAAAATACGCAATATCATAACACGTCTTCTTGTACGATGGTATTGCCTCATTTAGCTACATCCATGCTAAATCTGCTCCATAGACAAGGGAGTTGTTAGTTGTTGGTTGCGTTGATCAGTGTTGCCAACTCTGGGGATTTTCCCCGAAATTTAGAGGATTTTTTTGATTTCGGGAAAATCTAGGGGCAAAACTTCTTTAGGGGGTTTTGTAAACATCCAGGCCTGAACGCAATAAAATGTGCAGTCGTGTTGACTGATAACAGAGACTTTAAATATGTATATATGTACATATTTAAAGTCTCTGACTGATAATAATAATAGGTAGTGAGCCCTCTACATAAAATTATCGGAAACAAAAACTGACAAGTGACAGTTGATTTGACAGTTTACACACCGACAACTGCTGGACAAACACAAAAAACACTTCTAATGTAGCAAAAGACAAAGTAGTGTAAGTAATATTCATATTACTCATATACAATTTATATTGGCAAAATACTTTTTCTATTTTGTATTTAGGGAGTTTTTTGGCTAATTTAGGGGATTTTTTAGACGGGTTTAGGGGGAAAGTGATCAACAAGGTTGGTAACACTGGAGCGAACAGAACAAACGTTAATGCGTTCTTTTATTTCTTCACAGAAGAAACTGAGTTAAGGAGGGATATTCTATGGTTACATCAAATATCTTTGCCATTTCTATTGAAACACCACCTGTTGATTTTGCTTAAAATTTAGCAATTGATAACAGCTTTCGGTTGATTGACAACGGCTTTTAGTTACAAAATTGTCTGAATATGAACGTTGGCAAATTAACAAGTGGTGTTTCAATAGAAATGGCAAAGACTATCACTTACAGGCCAAAAATATAGGTTATGTGTAACGTTAAGAATTTTAAGGTGAGATACTTTTGACAATTATAAATTACGTTCTTTTATTTGTTCACGACTCTAAGATTCTATGCTCTATGCTCTAAGTTTAATCGATCAGCTTTGACATAAATGCTCGCTCTGATCTTAATCTATGTGGATGTAATTTTGGAACGTAAATAGCATTAGTCGTGCAAAATGTACGTAAAGTCAGTGTTGCCGATTTGTTGACTTCTTCGTCTCCAAATCTGAAGAATTTTACTGTTCCGTTGCGACGTACAACTTTCATAATAAAACAGAAACAGCTCTCAAATGTGGTGAAATGACCAACTAGTTTTGGAGATTTCGAGCTTTTTTAAATCACATTAATTTTCTTCTGTGAACCCAACTCACCAAATACCAGTATACATATATGTATACTGTGCCAGTATTATTCATTTCAGATCGCTATATAGAAATAACTAAATCTAGTCTCTTGATTTTTTGAGCTATGTAAATATGGACATCATTTTTCCAATTTATAATCGGCTTATAGAGGGTCAAGCCGCATGATTCATTCTTCATAAAATATCAGTAGTGTCACTCTATATGTATAAATCAATCTAATTCGTCTACAAACTCAAATTCTGAGTCATCTGAATCTGATTCCACCAAATTTATAACCACGGGTGGAATATTGTTCACAGGTGAGGTTCCCATTAACTTTTCCGAGTCGTCGTGAATTAGTTTTTCATGTTAACAATAATGGCTGTCAAAAAAGAATGCACAAATGCGAGTATTGACATTTTTTGTGGCACAAGGATTCATTTTCACAGCATTTGAAGATCAGGAACGTGATTGGAGGAGGAGAGGGGCTTGTAGAAACAATTTCGACAAAAAAATCGCACAATGGCTGATGTAAACAATTATCCTATTTTTCTCTCATCAGCTGTTGAAAAGTACCATCCTTTGTAAAATACTTCATCTCAGGGCATACCTACTTTCTCCAAAACACCGTTGGCAACACACTTAGACATCATTCTAGCATGCACATTTATTATACATATTTCACAAAAAGTTTAAATTTTGTTGCTCAGTGTAATGGTCCAGCAATACGCATATGATGGGGGAACGAGAAATCGGCGGCAGTTTTGCAACCTCTGACGCGCTAAAAAAGCAAGAAATTAGATGATGCCCACATACCTACATATTCTGCCACCTATCAGAAAGTTAAAAGACTTGGCCAACCAGTGACAAAATCAGGCTGTCCAATGTTTCGGCGGAAAAAATGTGAAGCCTAACATCACTATAATTGTCCCTATTTTTCATACGCTTTGATGTGCTCGTGAATAAAAACGCCCAGTTTTCATGAAAATGCATTTTATTAAATATGTGCTATGATTTAAAGTAAAATGGAAACAATGATCATGAATAATGTAATTCTATCAGTGAAATACACATGTGAACCGCCATGTTAGCACCTCGTGTACTGAAATAAGTACAGAGTGACAAACGAATCAGTACAAAGGGCGATCAGAAAGAAAGTTTTATAATAATGATGAGGTAACACTTGTCTTGTACTTAGGTTTCAAAAACTATCTAGTCATTATTATTCATTGGTTCCGGAAGAAAGCTAAGTGCTAGTTCAAACGTAAACGAAATCGTTAATACAAATAACAATTCAACAATACACAATGAAGCGAGAAATCATGGGCTTATCACAGAACATGTATGGCATGTTTTATTATTATCAATACCGAAGGGTGAAACTGCCATGAGGCAGGGACAGGAAGCAGAAGCGCAATACTGTACAGTCCGTTAAAGTAAGCCATTAAACAACCTTCTTTGACACTGTCTTACTAAATGACGAACGACAACTGTATCTATAAAGTTTTGCAACTTTCTTTAGCTATGACATTCGAAGCACTACTATTTACACAATTAGATTTGTTTAAGTTTTGTTTACATGTCCACGTCGAAATTATAAATCGTCGTGAGCTGTCCACTACGTCGCACCAATGATTTGATTTTGAAGTCGAAACTTGTTGAGAATATGGACAGCCGTCCAATGTCATAACTACTTAACTAATAATATATTACAAATCACTTGTTGCTGCTATTTTTGAATTTTCGATAATCCCCTACGAACGTTGCCCGTAAATTCAAACCGAGGAAGGAATCACCGAGAAAATGAAAACGTACAAACATACGAAAAATAACTGAATTACTTCAGTACAAGTGATAATTTTGCATTGTACAAACGCCTAGTAATTTCAATTGAATTCTTGACAAACTCTGCTCTCTTTTTGACCTTAACTTATCCGGAGAGATCATTAAATACAACACTAACTTAAATTAAAAAGAGGTTGAGAAGTCCCCCAATAGGAACAAGCTGTGGTCATTTATATCACAATTCTTTTTGTTTATTCAACCAGTGAGCTCTCACTGTCTATTCAAGTGCAAGACACTTGCCAAATATAGAAATATCAGATCAACATTGACCAGAGAAACTCACTGTGCTAAAAAACAAAACTTTAAAACTTAAATTACACAGGATTTTGATGATTTAACAAAATGTTAGTCATACTATACTACAACAGCACTCATAGAGTGTCTTATTGTGAACACATCGATAGCAGTCTGTGGCACTATCACGAGCTTCAGCTCTGTTTAACCCTTTTCCGAGGTGGACCTATGGGGGGTATTTGTTGCGTTGCTAACGCACGGAACGCTTCTGCAATCAAGTGGGGATGGGTCTGGATCATACTCTTCCACCCTGGTGTGTCCATCACATCTGTCGCATGCCTTAAAACAACAAATTAACCTTAAACTCCACTTTTCGCAATCACTTACGTATTGATAAAGTCTATTGCTTGTGCTTTCAGTTGATCTGCGCTATGCAGATCTGCCAATATTAGGATTTCGGCGGCATTATCTATTGATAAATTCGTACACAGCGCTTCTTCACACATCACTTTAAGTCTTTCTAACGCATACTGGAAATGAAAAAAAAAAAATAAAAATAAATAAAACTAGTCAGATAGACAACGAAGATGCGAACCTTATCCGCAGCCGCTAATAAATCGTCGGCCATTTTCTCTAAATTTGATGCTTTTCCTGTATATATAAATCTAAGCATTTCCCGTAATACTTCGTGGTCTACGTCCGTAATATCTACTCTATTGTGTTTTCTTTCTTCCATTTCATGTTCGAACATGGCTTGGAAAACAGGACTCCTCGCTGAAATGAATCCATAAATAAATAAAACACATAACTAACTGAATAGGGGAAACATATAATAATATTCATAATTAATTGGCCATATGAATTTTGGTAAATTTAGGTTGTTTTACCACCTTCACGATATTAAGGTATGCTTGACGAACTCTCTTGAAACAGAAACATAGTTTCTAGCAATGTGTTACAATTAAAAAAATAGATAAACACGGTGTAACGGCAGAAAATTATGCACATATAGCATATATATCATAAGGACTATTGAAAACATTCTTTAACGCAGTCCATAGAATACGTTTAATTTGACATTATTTTTAAACAAACGTCGTTACGTTTAAAAGTCAATCTGTCGTCTGTTGGCGTTTTATTTGGTACTGAACACGTTGCGAACTTTTAAACGACTTTAAGAATATCATGTTATTGTCAAAATGCTAAACTAAATGCTAATGTCAAAATTTTCCTAAATAAATTCCATTTAAAATGCAAAAAATAATAAAAATAATATGCTTTTATGCCTGTTATTTATTAATCCACACACATTTTTAACCTTATGTAATTTTATATTTTAATTTGGAAAGCACGAAACCGATGGCTCTGAAATTTTGCACACGCTTTAAGGTCTTCACGAACATGGTAAATCGCTAATCAGAATTCACCTATTCTTCCTTTCCAAAAAATTCATAACGTCACCTCAAAATTTTGTTAAATAAATCTCCCGTAAAATTTATAAAAATGTGATATGCTCTTTTAATTGTAGTCTAATAAATTATCAATTTTTTTTAGTCATGCAAGATGTTTAAAAAATGTGATTTTATCGATTAAGCCAAGAGCTGTTTACTTAATGTTTCTGGAATTCTATATACAGAGTACTGTTGTTATTAATATTACATTATACCTTGATGTCACCACAAAATCTGTTACGATAATCTTAGTCGAAAAATACAATATAGCGGATATACATAATAGTACTATTTTACCTGTTTATTTTAATTATCGTAAAAAAAAATTGTTAACATTTGCGAAATAAAACTTTATAATTTTACCAAGAGATTGGACTTGTCTAATGAATTATCCTCAACGGTCAGAGGAACTTTTCTCGAAATAACTTTAGACAATTTTTTATACTTATATCAAGGTGAAGTCCTTAAAAAGTTGAAATTCCAAACTTTAATCTTTAAAAATGGTGAAGCTATGAGCTCTTAAATATGACCGTATTTATACAATAAAATGTAAAAATTTTGAAAAACCATTAATTAAAACCATTACGTCTGTTATCAAGTCTTTTCTTTTTTTATTGGTGCGCTGCAGTTAAAAAAGTAAGGTTTGGTGCCTAATTCTTAAATAAAACATCCCCCGCATGTAAAAAAAAACAAACAGTAATACATAAAGTATGTACTTTTTTAGTTTTCGAACGTAAGCTAATTCACACTAGCACTTGTAAACCAAACCTTCGTTTAATCGTTCTGAATATCGAATATTAAAAACAGTTGAATTATAAATGTTATCTGACTAGTGCAAAAATGCAATTTAAAAAACAAGAGAGACGTAGAGATATTGAAAAAAAAAATTAAACTTTTGTGTAACAGGGGAATTCGATGTTATTTCTAATGGCAACGAAAACATAACATGGAAATTGTTTTGGAACACAGATAAAATTAGCCTCTATAATTAGTTAATGATATTTAAAAACAAGATTCAAGAATACTTATTTACAAAGATTGCCTTTTCAAGTGAATTAATATTAATACTTTTCATCATCATACACCCAACTAACGATTCGCATTCAAATAACTTTAATTCTTACCTGCTAATATCGCTTTATGTGCCTGGAACTCCCTACCGGCTACAGACAAAGTTACGTCGCTAAATTTTTGATTTTCGAATAATAAACCTAAGTCGTCCGATAACCTACATTCTGGCACTTTAAACTGAATCGTATTCGACTGGCCAGAAATATTTACACTATCAGCAACAACACTGACCTACAATCCCGAATCGTTTAGTGAATTTATTAATCACAATTAAAAATCCGAACTCACTTCACAAAATATCGTAAGTTTGTCATCCGGCAGAAGACCATTTGCTTCGTCCAACAGAAAATCCCTCCTGATGAACTTCTTGAAACCCCAGTCCTTGCCCTGGACGAACCTGTACGCCCGCTGACTCTCCATCGCCTTCGTTTCTTCCCTTTTTGCATTTAATATACTAAATTTAAATTTGGCTCTAACTTCACTCTTATTGCACGACACAAGAAGAAGGTACAGTGAAAGATAGTCTTTGCTTTCTTCGTCCAGGCCTTTGGGATTCACCCTCAGACACCTACAGAGAAGTGGGATTAATTTTAGTCAACTAGGGGATGAGGATGGTTTCATACCATTTTAGTTTGTCGTTGGCTCCTGCTGAGAACGTCGAAGACTTTAAAACTTCTCCCATTTCTTCACGACAGAAACTAAAATTATTTATTGTCCACATGTAGCTGAATTTGACGACTTTCACCTGCAATAAAAAAATTATAATGAATGAAAATTGCCGATGAATACGATGGATACCTTTGGCCTAGCAAATGTCGAATAAATCAACATGAATTTTTGAAAATTGTACATTTTTAAAAATGACACCGCCACGCTATTTGACAGTTACTGGCCGCGGCCTACTTGGATACTCTTGCGATAACAAATCGCCAAAATAAATACACACATTTTTATAGTGGATTCTTTAAATTTCTAATCTAGGTTGGCTTTGGAACAAAAAGTATTGCCGTTAATAGCATACGCGTACCGCCAAATTTTTGTTTTGTAAACCTCAAAAGTAAATGTTTAGCAATTTTGATTTATAATTGTTTATTTCACGCTACAATTACAATAGTTTTCACTGAAAATCAAAAAGCTTACATGATAGAAGCTATTTTGGCACCGTCCAAAAAATCGATGGTCAATGGTATTGTTCAATAAAAGTTTGACTGGTTTTCAAGAACAGTTTCCTGCAGTGTTTGGACAATATAACCAATTTTATAACAGTCTGATGCACTGTGTAAGGTATTTCGTCAAACTAGAAGTGTGCGAAGAAAAAACGTAGCGGACATCAAAAAAAAAAAAAAAACGCAGAATTGTTAACCACTTCTATACGTGTTCTTTCACAACAAACTGATCTTTGCTATTTGACTTGTCAAAAAGTATTAAGCCAACTTACATTCTATAGGAAAATGCATAAAAAATTAATACGAGAACGAAGAAATTATTCCTACTGATTGCTTCAGAAGTTTATTGCACATTAAAAAATGTGAATCTATTTTCAATTCAAATTTGAATTTGTGTAATAAAAATACTACGTGTTATAGTTTTAATGCCCTTTTAAAATTATTTGGTCTTTAATATCAATTTTTAGAAATTTAGAAATTAGCAGTTATCAATGAAACAATAAATGAAAAACTTTTTTAAAAAGATATCTCGATTGCTCTCCAATATCTTTTTGGGTGTAACAAATGAAAAGACACATGTACACACGGAGCAATCTCTTAAGTTAAAATAATTAATAATGCTAAAAATAATAATAACAATAATAACAATTGTGTTAAATTATGTAGTTTACAGAACTTTTACGAGCACTTCGTAAAAAAATAGTTAAGCATCGCAACTTTCTCTTAAAAAAAATGTACGTTTTGAAAAAAGTAATAGCTAGAAAGCTGATAAAATTGTCTCCTCTTATCAAACTGTAGGTTTTAAACTTCCCTTAACGTATGATATTTGAAAACAGTCACAACTTTCTACTGATAACCCTGTACGTTTAGCATTGTAAACACTGAACCACTAGAAAATCTTTTTCCCATTTAAAAGTGTACGCGACGCCTCTGTTTCTTCGAAATTTCGACCCTGAACAAGGGCATTCACGCCGTCGGTCTTGAGAAATCCTGAACATCACCATAACGTGATCTGATAAGCTGGAAGCTTACAGCGGGACGGTTTTTTCAGTATCAACCTCGATATTGCAAAGGTGGAAAACTTTCAGGATACCGTCGTCTAACCAACCAGCGCCAACCGCAATGAGAATTTAACCCTGATGTTGGACGGTCGCACATCGCAATTGGTCAAATAATCTAACTGTACTGTAAAATCGAAAAGATGCATTTGTGGTGCCCGGTTACAACCGGAGGTATAATTTTCAAGTAAGAGCCGTTGGCCTCAACCAAGGTCAGCACCAGAACATTGTCGTTTGCCGACGAGTAGTTTACCTTTAGGTAGAACGAGTTGGTGGTTCGTTGGGTCGTGGAGGTTTGGCTTACCTGCGTGTAACACCAGTTCTCTGCCACTGGGGTGTTTACCTCCTGGGGTGGTGGACTCGGCACGCGGCTAACGGCCATGGTACTCGTGGGATGCAGGTTGGAGCTGACTCGGGCCGTTTGGCCGGCCGAGCAATCACTCACCACCGGCAGCCTGGAGTCATACAAAAACTTCAGTGAGATGATATACACAAATACCCGTAACTTTCTAATAGAGTTGCATTTTTTTTGAAAACAGGTATATGACTTAAATAAACCATCAGTTTTCTTTTGCCAACTACCACTAAAAACGTTAACTATTTGTGGAATACTGAATAAACTATATGTTTTACCGCTGATCCCCCCAACTTAGCATGATAAATTGGAATTTCGTAGATGTACTATTAATTTTTACATGTAATTTTAGTTGAATTAATCCTTCCAAAACATAATATTTATTAACTAGGTACGAGCAACGCTGGCGTTGATAAATTGCATTTCATAATGATGACTGGTGCACACTGTATTTAACAACTGCAAGAAATGTAGTTCATTTATGTGATGTCAATTAAAGAGACTGCAAATAAATAGACGTTATTTTTATTCAAAATCCATCAACGCATTTCAAGTTGAATTCTCAGAAAATTTCATGAAAACAGTGGCAAGTAGATTATACATCGTGCAAGTGCATCAAAATAATTATTTACATTACAAAAGCCGAAAGTACCGAATAGCATAATGAGCAAAAATGCGGGTCGACGGCGCAACATGTAAGCTAGTTAGCTATTCGGCTTTGGCGTGTATAATGTACATAATTTTTTGTACTGCTGTTTCCGAAATTAGGTTTTTTAAGAATAATAATTTTAGTACAAATTTATTCAAATTTTGACGGCAGAGACAACTGCAAATTTGTTGCCGAATAAATCTGGTGAAGTACAATGTTGATCTTCAGTGGTGCCATCCCAAAATTCATCAGGTAAATGTACCCTAAATACTGAAATCAAAATTCGTACAAAATAGTTATTTACATTATGAGTGCGGCGGTAGGTATCATTTTACAGGTGAGGTTTTAATTTTGAAGCACGACGCGCAGCGGAGGGCTTTAATAAAACTCAACAAAAGGGCCGGCTTATTAAATCTTAGATGTAGGAATGAGCAGCTTAAATGCCACTTAGTCAAGAATACTGCATTTTCCTATTTTACGAGTTGTGAAATGTCAAAAAAATTCCAGTTTTAAAAATGACGAGTACATTCATAAAATAACACTTTCTCAAAAACCATCAGTAAAAAGACCACAACTGACATTTTTCTACTTTTTAAAATTTTTAAATACACAAGAATGTATGGCGTATTTCATATAAAGATGCATCATTTTAACATGTAAATTATAAATGGTTTACTCTATATGAATACAGTATTAGATACTTTTGATTGTGTTACCTGAACAGTAATTTAAAAATAAAATGGGTTGTGATTGTGCTGTCCACATATCTCGACATGCTGTCATTAGACAAACTGAATTTGGCATACATAAACCACTCTTTTCATACTATCTTTTATGCGCTACAGTATCACTTCGTACAGTACTTAATTCCGCAAGTAATTCTTGACATTCCCGTTAAAAGTTCCACTACACAACACATAGCCGAGATGTGTATTAGGTAGAGGTGCAGTGCGGATGATAACAACAATGCGTTTTCAAAGTGCATATCGAATTAATGAATGATGACCTGCCACACATGAGTCGATAATTCAATAGAAGCTTAATAAAGGCATATACAAGCTCGATAATAGTACAACAAAAGTGTCACATCTGAAATTTATGCGATCTGTAATTAATTTCCATCATTCGAACGGAGTATGCACTATGTAGCAATATCCGACACAAGGTTTGACATATTTTTGTCCAAATATACATAGGTACATCACTACGATGAAACATGTGAAGGCGAATACACTGCTTTACCGTAAACGTTTAAAAGGAAATCCCTGTCCGATAAGATAACCGCTCCAAAGAAACGTGACTTTTGACATTGACAGATTTCATAAACAGTCATGTGGAGGATGCGGAGGACACTCATAACAGTCTGCACATTAAAAAAAAAAAAAAAAAACAATTCATTGAGACGAAATGTAAAAAAAACCTTCACGGTACTCTTCAACGATCCGAACTGAAACTTGTGAACAGCGCCGAACAGAACTCAGGTATAGATATAGGTAGTTCTTAGGTTTTCTAAAGACGAGGGCTTGGTCCTTTTCGGTAGGTAGATGTCGTGCTATGGTAATGTAATACGAAAAATGAATAATCCAGGCTACCACAATAATGTATTACTACAAGTAGCGGTACCGGCGCTCCATTCACGTCAATATTGCCGAGTTAATTATCAATACGAACGTGTATTAAGGAGGAGGCATAAAAATTCTGCAACACTGGTCGCGGTTGGCAAGGTCAAACACCCCGGCATATTCGATGATAACCAGACAGTTAGGTTGAGGATGATGACTGTTTATTGAAGGTCAGACCTAGTACATCGCTCCTGCTCAAGAGCTTTGGGTCAATGACCGTTTCACGATTTACTCCTCTATGCAAGACAGACAGTGATGGTGGCTGCAGGGGCGCAGCCCCTGTGCCAAGAACCCTCGCTCAGCCTGATCGGTTAGGGTTGGGGAGAACGGGCAGAGAAACGTGGGAGAAATGACGATATTTTCTAACGTCGACGTTATGGATGGTTGCTAGTTGTGATGTCGAAGAAGAAATTATTTGTCGAGTCTGCATAGTTACGCAGAATGAAATACTAAATCTGCTAACAGAATTTAATTAATGTAGTACAATAATTTTTGCTAGATAACTTCTCCGCAGTCTTCCTTCAAGAAGTAACCGGCCACGTTGACGGTAAGTATACACGAGTTGGCTCCCGCGGTTGGTTTTTGACCACCCTCCACCGAAAAATGAGTATAGGTAAATTAGTTCCCATGATGCAGGGTGGATAGATTTTGTGATGCCGTCTTAAAATTGACTTAACTTTTTTGAGTCACCTGTATAAGCAATTCTAAAAAATATTAATGCAATGATTAGTTACAAGTATAGACTCATCATATTTTAGACAGTTGTAATATATATGTTGTTGTTATTACATATCCTAACTTAATGTTGCATAAAAACTTCAACAACGAACAACAATTTCATAAAAAATACAGCTTAAGAAACTTCACATTCGCATGGGCTGTTAAAAAAAAAACGGTCAGAATCCAAAACATTTATCAGCAACAATACTATCGCCCGCAAAATATGTACCTACAAAGTTGAATGTTACACACCATGATATTAAGGTCACTTATGACACTCTAATTCTATGTTTTGAACAGTAACTGAAACAACTTTACGAGGTTTCTGGAACAATTCAAATTAGGTAATTTTACATCAACTGACCCCAAACATCTAAAAACTGAGCATAATAATCCAAGGTTTGCATTTCAAATTTCTTTCATTTTCAATTCCTAAGAGTATTACACCTACACAAGAAAAAAGGACAAGGGCTATTTTAACATGTCTGCCCTATAATTAAAAATAAACGCCTATTTTCGCGTCACAATCTTGTTTACACGAACGAAATCTCTCTTGTAATCGGGTCAGCTCTATCTAGGTAAGCGGTTACCTTTAATGAGAACAATGATAGGTTAATAAGGTAACTCGCGTTGTGGAATTGATTGCTGCTACGGTCGCACCTTAACACCTCTTGAAATTGCAAAACTCAGTGGATTTCACTTACTCATTTTTCCGTGCAGATTCACTAATACTCGCGGTTCGATTACTGCTATTATTATTATTATTATTATACAACGGCTGTTTGGCAATCAGGTTGTAGATGTATATAGGCAGATGTCTCGTTTAAACATGTTTCATTTAACAAACACGTATCACCTATTATGATGCATCACATATCAGATAAATCATTGGATTTTCGCTGTTGAATTTGTTCGTCGATTAACCGCTACTGTTTTAGGATATACATATACATTTTTGGAATTGTAGAAGTCTGAAAACCAACGACAGAGGAAACCAAAAACAGTGGATGCTTTTAATGTCATATTGTCCATGAGATTCAAGTCGGACAAGATATGGCAAAAAGATAAACTTATTAAAACAAATTCCAGTCAAACCGGAAATTTCTATTTTCTTATAAACCGTGATAATTGTTCGCTAGATTTGACAGCAGTTTCACTATTCTCTAAAGGCCGTGTGACACGATGCTAAATTTATGACAAATTTTTGTACGAAATTTAGTTCGAAAAAATGTAACTAAATTTACAACTAAACAATATATCTCCTGTATGCCACCTTACTAAATTCTCTTGTAAATTTACCATTCGCGCATGCGTAGTGAGTGAAAATTTTCGGGAATTTAAGAAATAGTGTTGGTAATGGTGATTGGTAAGGTGCGTTTTTCAACATAACCTCTGTGACATAACCTACAATTTGTTTGTTTATTATTTACTTATTAATCATTTATAATGAATTGTGAGGAAATACTTGTTTATACAACTATTGCTGCTTCGAGTATTGTTCTAAGCTGCTATGCCAATAAAACAAATCGGAAAATTCAAAGAAGAAAACGACGTTCACTATGGAGCAGACCTTGGTTAACAAGGCGACAAGAAGGACGAGATATTTTAAACATGTTAAATACCGAGTTGTTGCCAGAAGATCCAATTGCATATCAAAATTTTTTGAGATTAACGGGTGCTCAATTTGTGGGCAAAAGAACTGTTTGGTTATGTTGATTTCATCATGGCGTCGTACCGGTTGCGCCTTATCGTACTGCGCAGTTTTCGTAACAAATTTAGTCAGTATTTAGAACGTGTCCTAAATAATTTCTCACCAAAATTTGCACACAAATTTAGCATGTAAATTGTGTATGACACGGTACAATTTTTTGCACAAAATTTATCTCGCTAAAATTTGTCATACGGCCTTAACGCTCCGAACAGGGTACTAAAACCGATTTAAAGTGTAACGATTACGCAAAACCTCAGCACTGTTAAATACTTCAAAAATTTTCAGAATCTTTCTAATTTTTATTCTTCGTTAAATGTAACTGATGGTTAGTCATTAATGTCATTATGAAAATCGGTTGTGTCCTTAGTACACAATCGTATCACACTTTTACCAGCATG